ACATTATCAGATTTATTCTCAGAAGAGCATGAATGTTTGACATCTGTTACATATACTGTTTTATTCTATCACACTTCTGAAATCTACACTAAGACGAGGAAGCAGGCTTTTAAAAAGCTGGTAAGGAATTGGCTTGGGGAGGGAGAAGGTAGGTAAAGAGTCTGTTTGTTCCATGTTGGTATGTTTAATTTCCCACTAGTAAAATTTCCAATCTAGTGTGATCCCATCCCTGAAATGCTGAGATATACTTGGAATGATGTCTGGAAATGTTTGGTGTTTTTGTTTGGGGAATACTTCTGGGAACCTGTTTGATGGCAAGTTTATTATTTCCTTTTTGGCTCGAGTCCTAAAGTTACCCGGCTTTCGTCTTCTCAGAGTCAGCTTTTAAGGCTTTGTATTTTCTCTCTGTGGAAATTTTACATGCTCTCTGGATTATTTAATCTTGATCAGCATGGTAAAAGATCTTCTAGGGGTATTTTATGCTTGTGGTGGAAGTCCCCTTAAACTTGTTCGTCAGTAGTCTGCCTTTTCTCCAGCTGTTGGGAAGTCAGCTTACCTTTGATACAGTTTTACAATGCACAAGTCTTGTTTTGCTGTAGTTCTGTAAAGTTGCATAGTATACTCATCTATTTACTGTCTTCTAAACCACTATTATTTATTTACCTTTAATTTTAAAGATACTTTATCCCTCCTCAATTTTAAGACTATAATCCTGGCATTTTATTTTACTAAATGAAATATAAATACTTGTATTCAGAACATGCATATATTTCCCATATGCCATTCTAAAGTCAAGAAACTCTTAAATGAGTATATTTTATTATTTGTAAATTATACCTCCAAGTTGGTTAGAAAAACTTATTGAAGTGTACACTTAAGATCTGTGCATTTTACTCTGAGTGTACCTTAATATTTCCCAATATCTTTATTAAATGACATCTCCAAGTTTTACTTTCTCTCTCTCTCTCTCTTTTTTGTTGGCACCAAAAAAGTAAATATTAATAATCCTTTGACTGAATACAATCAACTGCACACTATTATTGATATTTTGGCCCTTATTTCCTCAGAGTGGATATTTGTTAGTTCAGTGGTTTGTCCATATCAGTTATTTCTTCCCTCTTTGTCCAGTCACACCAGCTGGACTGGCCAGATTGTTTCACCTCACAAGACAAAATTCATACCTGTTGCTGAATGCTTCCAAATAAGAAGTAGAACAACAAGTTGAAGACTTAGATTTTTTTTTTTTTTTGGAGAGAAAGATTAGCCCTGAGCTAACATTTATGCCAATCTTCCTCTATTTTATATGTGGGTCGCCGCCACAGCGTGGCTGGTGAGTGTGTAGGTCCGCGCCTGGGATCTGAACCCAAGAACCCAGGCTACTGAAGCAGAGCGCAGGACCTTAACCACTACGCCACCGGGCCAGCTCCAAGACTTCGATTTTTATTCCTTCAAGTTATTTTTCTGTGCTCTGCAGCACTTACCTGAAAGCTTAATCTCATCCATAAATGATGTGACAGGTGTGTTAGTACTAGATTTTGTTTAACCTCAGGTAGGTTTATAATCTATCAGCATGCTTTTAAATTATTAGCTCATCTCTAGTTTGAGTCAAAAACTCCTCCCTGCCATTTTGCAGTTTTTTAGATAAGTGGAATAGCAGGTTGTGGAAATTCTTTATTATTTTTAGTGCAAGTTGAGTATGCACATGCTTTAAGAAGTTAAATAGTGCCATAATTGGTTTATAATAAAATCCAGGGTTTGCTGCCCACACCTCAGCCCATTCCTTCAGTCTTTCTCCTCGTAAAGACCATTTTCATCTCTGAGCTGCTGATTCTAGCTTGTGTTTATCTCCACATTTCTAAGGAAAATGTTTATCTTTTGATTCATTAATTTAACCCTTTACTAAGGTGGCAGATTTTGTTTTCTTAAATATCCCTTCTGCCCTTCCTCCCCTTTGCGTCCCCTCCCCAATTCTCCCAATGTGTTACACCTTTTGGTTAATACATTCTTTGCCTATGCACAGTCACTGATGGTGTTGTATTGTGGTGTTTCCTTTGTAAAAATTTTCCTGTACTAATAATGGCCCTTTTTTTTTCATTTGCATAATTTTCTTTGTACCTATTGCTGATTCTTCCCATATCTTCTTGTAGCCTCTCAGAACAATTTTCCACAAGGTCAGTCAGCACTGTCCAATAGAAATACAAAGCAACCCACATGTATAATTTTACCCTTTCTAGTAGCCACAGTAAAAAGGTGAAAAGAAGCAGATGAAAGGAATGATATAATTTACTTAACCTAATATGTTGAAAGTGTTATTTCAACAAATAATGCTTAAAATATTTGAGATATTTTACTTTCCCTTTTGGTACTAAATCATCAAAATCTGATGTGTCTTTTTACACTCACACAACATTTCTTTTCAGACGGGCCACATCTCACGTTATCCCAGTGGCCATGTGTAGCGAGTGCTGCTCTGCTGGACAGAGCAGCTTCAGGGGATGGCCGAGTCTCAGCATTTCTCTTGAAGCCCTTTGTGCTGGAGACCGCCGTTCTCCTGTCTGGAGGCCTGCCTCACACAGCTGTCATCGTGAGATGGCCTTTGCTTTACTTCTCGATTGGATTCCCGATCTCCTGCATTTCAGGTCTTTGGTAGTTCCGTTGGGTCACGGTGGGGATGGTGGACAGAGGCACACTGTTGACACATCTGTCTCTTGAGTCACGCTGCTCCCATCTGGCCAGCCTGCCTCCTGGGTACGTGCAGAGTGGTCGTCCTGGGAGCGCCTCCCTTCACAGTTCTTGTGGAAGTTTACTTCGCCTTTGCTCTTGTATCAGATGTTTTTTTCCTTGTGTATCTTACATCTTTGTCTTCCTTGGTTTGTTTCTTCCCTCAGGTGGAACACATGCTCCGATGGATTGCTGAGAAAAGAGAGCATGGGTGGTAAAGGTTTTGAGACCTTGCATGTCTGGAAATGTTTTCATTGTCCCCTCTCACTTGATGATCGTTGGGCTGGATATAGGATTCCAGGTTGGAAATCATTTTTCTTCAGAATTTTGAAGGCATTGCTCCGTTGCCGTCTAGCTTTCAGTGAATCTGGCAAAGTCTGAAACGATTCTGATCCCCTTATTCTTTGAAAGTGAACTGTTTTTTCTTCCTGGAAACTTATAGAATATTCTTTTTGTCTGCAGGATTCTGGAATTGCACATTAACGTGCTTTAGTATGGGTCTGTTTTTATCATTATGATGAGCACTTGATGGGTCTGGAAAATTTCCTTGAACTATTTTTTGATGTTTTCTTTCCTTGTATTTTGTTTTGCCCAATTTTCTATTGTGTGTTTTTGTTTTGGGGTTTTTTTTGGCTCTACGTTCTGGGAGTATTTCTTCTACCTTTATCTTCTGACTCTTCAGTTAAGCTTATCATTTCTGCTATCTTGTTTTTAAATTCCAGGCGACATTTTTATGTTAAATCCTGTTCTTAATTCATGGATACAATATCTTTTCTTATCTTTCTGAGTATATTAATAATATACATTTTTTAAAGCTTTCTTTTCTCTACAGTTTATTTCCTCCAAGAGGCTTTTGTCCTGTTTTGTTTTTCTCATAAATCTGTTTTATATTAAAGGCTTTCCGCTTACGTCTGTAATCAGTGGTTGTGTGTGCACAATGAAGAGTAGGGCCTTACAAGGAAGATGGAGAGCTCAGAGCAGGTATAAGGGGCTGTTAGCACTCTTCCCACCACGGAGCCTCCACATAGGCTGTTAGTTACACACCGTGGTGACAGTATCTTTTGGTCTTTCCTCTTGTCTGCTCAGATCGTCTAGAGAGGACTCTGCCTCCTGAGTTACATTTTCCAGAAAGTACATCTCCAGATTTCTGCAGAGGCGTGAGGCAGCAGTCACCCAGCAGCATGGAAGGGAGGGGGATAGTCGGGGTGGTGGAGATCCAGCTCTTCTCAGACAGCTCACGCCCAGCCCCTGCAGTGAATCCCATCCTTCATTCCAGAGCCTTTGGAGGATTCTGTGGTGGAAATCGGGATGGTTCTCTGTTTTCTGCACTGCTGGCTTGTAATTGAACTTTCTTGGACCTGCCAGCTACTAAATTAGTCTGATTTCCAGCTTCCAAAATTCTGGTGCTGTTGTCTTCTCTGCTCTTTTCCCCTCGTGGGTTTGCCTTTTTTTTTTGTAATTGTGGTAAAATATACGTAACATAAAATTTACCACTGTAACCATTTTTAAGTGTACAGTTGAGTGGCATTAAGTGTATTCACATTGTTATGCAGGTTTATCTTTTAATAATAATAAAATACAAATTAAAAAGAAGGGAGTTTTAATGTGATGACAGTGGTGTTCTAGAGAGCACAGCCCCCTGCGTGTGATCAGTCGTGCAGGGGCGTTTTGCGGGTCTTCTGCTGGCCCAGGTAGCTCCCTTTCTGAACGTTCGGTGTGATGGGATTTGTTTACCATCTTCTAGAAAAGCAGTTGGATAGTTTGTTGGCATAAAAGTGCATTTTATCTGCTCTTAATAACTGTAGCTTTACAAAAGGTTGCAGATGGAACTCCCAGGTCTGACATTCAAGGCTCTCCCAGATCTGGCCTGCCCACCTATGTGCTCCAGCCAGCTGTCATTCCTCCCTGCCGGCCCCCTCACTGTTCTTGCTTAAGGAGTGAACACCAGCCCCCGTTCCTTTGCTATGCTGGCTGTTCCCGGGTGAAATGCCGCCTCCTTGTCTGTCTTCTTGCCCTCCTCCACATCTTTCCAGCTCCCAGCCCCATGCCACTTCCTCCCAGCCCAGGCGTGTGGTTGTTCCTCTTCTGTTTTCCTCCCATGACCTTATACATGCCTCTGAACTATCACCATGCGTTTCCCATGCTGCGCGGCACCCTTTGATGTCAGTTTCTGCGCTGGGTCTTCTCAACGCCTGGCACACAGGCCATGCTCGGTTAAATGTCGGGATGAATTCCTGCTGCCAGAGATTTCAAAAGAACTCTTGATCCTTGTTTTGTAGGACATCCGACACGAAGCCAGTGACTTCCCATGTAGAGTGGCCAAGCTTCCTAAGAACAAAAACCGAAACAGGTACAGAGATGTCAGTCCCTGTAAGTATTCACATCGCCATTACTGGTCTCACTGCGTCCATTGCGTTGGCACTTCCTCCGCTGCAGGGCCTCGCAGTCACGAGCCCCGGGGTTTGGTAACAAATCGATAGCAGTAGAGGTTATGACTTGATTGTTTCGTATAATAAAGGCATTAGAGACTTATAGAAATGGGTCATGTTTCCACCATTGTCGAAGGAGTAAGGTTTCAGTTTCTGGAAAATTCAGCTAAGTTCAAAGCTCTTTTTTTGACTTGGACTATTTTTGATGAATCATTTTCCTCCAGCTGAAGCAGAGTGTGGTGGGCATGACAGAACCTCTCCTTGATGACTCATCAACCGTGTTACTAGACCCCAAGCACTGCATTGAAACGTAGTGACGCCCTGCACTGCATTAGGGCTGGGAGTGGTTCACCCCTCTACTGAGGACGCAGGTCAGCTCTGCCTGTTGAGTCCCACCCTCTACCCCACCCTGCCCACTACTGCCGTTGTCATTTTTCTAGCTCTGTCCTGCTGTTGGCTCACAGTGTGCCTGCTGGCCTCTGGCAGCCTGCTCTGCCTGCTGAGTAGTTGGCTCTTGGTCTGCTGCTATCTCGAAAGTAAATAACTGAACACATTAGAATTCATATAAAGCAAGAAAAACGGGGGCTGAGTAAAGGACGTGAACTTGGCCATCTTTTCGAAGCCACAGAGGACTTGTCAACTCACCTCCAGGGTTGTCAGTCGAGGGCTTGTAGCTGCCGACATCACCCGTGGCAGTATTATCTGCCAGGGACATAGGAGATTCGGTGGGTTATTCCTCACACAGAAGCCCACCATGCCCCTGGCTGTGGGTGGTGGCTCTCGGTGCTCTCTGTGGGCGAGTCGACAGTGCGTCCTGCCCCGAATTGTACAGTGCCCAGGGAGGGGAGGAATGGACCTAGAGTGGTACAGAGCAGTCTGCCTCCGACTGCTGCCAGTTCCCTTCCAGGGTTTCTGTCTCAGCCTGCCACTTACAGCTGTGTGGCTTTGGGGAGTCTGTCCTCTTCACTGATGGTCCGTAAAACATGAGCCACACCAGTCTCAGGACTGTATGAGGATGAAATGAAAGAGCGTAAGCTACTCAGCCCGGGGGCTCGCTCCTAAATGTTGGCTGTGGTTAGACGGCTGTTAACTGAAGGTGCATGCCAGGAACATCTGAAGTGCAATTCTGGGTCATCGAGTGACACCCGATAGCGCCCCAGCACCCGCCAACCAGCACACTTGAGTTAGCGCGGCTAGGCTGTAGCTCCTCATAGGTTTTATTTTGAAAAAACCGCAGGTGATTCTGCTGTGAGGTCCTGGCCAGCTGCTCTAGGCTGGAAAGAGCACTGGCTGTCCGCGTCTCGCACACACTGCCGGGAAGTACCCTGGGTCTCGAGCTTTTGTTGTACTTGCTTGAATTAGGCAGTAATGTTGTCTTTAATATTCCTTTGCTACATTTTTGATCAGTGCTCATCTAAATGGTTTCATGAACCAGTTTTACAGAGAAAAACAAGCATTTACTTCCAGGGAACAATTTCTGAACTTTTTCATCTCTAATCTCACTCATATTTTCTTTTTCTCCCCTACCTCTACTCTCCAATAGAAAAAAGTAATTTGCTTTTAAGGTTGTGGGGGAAGTGGGGAGAATGGTTCCAGGTGCAAGGTGATCTTGTTGTCTTCCAGCGCTCAGAGGATGAGTTGTTCGCCCAAGGTCCCCTAGTGCTGTTTGAACCCACTCATGTAACCCACCAATGCCGGTCACATAATTTTTTTGAGATCTTCAGTCTCCATGACCCACTTAAATATTACCCAAGGGTTTCAATTTGTATTAACCATCTTCGATGAGAAACATTATTCCAACTGGCAGCTAATTTTCAAAAACATCTCTTTGGAATCTTTTGGAACAGAAAGCCCCAAACTACTTATCCCAATTAACTTCTCCTTTCCCACTGGGCTGGGGGAGAAGATACTATTTATGGTGGTCACCTGAGTTCATCATCCCTTGTGTTGTACCAGAAATAAAAACACCCACTTGCTCTTGTTAGCTGCACCAGCAGTATAAGGAAGGTGGCCCCCAGGGAACCATTGCTTTTGTGACAAAGTCATGGTAAAAAGAAAAAAGAGTGGCTGTGCTGTTTCAGTAACCTGGGGCAGACCTTCCAAATGAGAGTTTATTTTTGAAAACTATTCTGAAAGTTACATTTAATATACTTTCAGTGTTTTAGATTCAGAGTTTATTTTTTCCAGTTAAACTCTCTTTTGAATGTCTTTGATCAGGACAGGTTCTGAATATGAAAGATTTAGAGTCATTTAAGTATATCGTACTTGAACTTTTTAAAAAAACCTTGTATAAAGGAATTCAAGGTCAGACTTTTCACACTGCTGTGAACTTAGGTAATTTAATGTTCAAACCATTGGACATAAGTTAGGTTGAGGTTCGATCATAAATTCTGCCTGCTGCAGCTCATTGTACCAGCTGGAGCTCTGGGGACTAGGTGGAATTTTTGGTGGATTTTGTTTCCTTTTAAAGATTGAAGCCACTACATTTTTTTACCCTGTTAAAAGTATATATTAGGCATTAGAGAACAGATCCCTTGACACTCCCTCCACCCAGCCTACCAAGTTGTGGGGATGGTAATAAGTATCATAGGAGGATATGACCTAAGAAGAGATTTCCCAAATAGGACGTAATCCATGTTTTAGTGTATTTTATCTCTGTTGCTAGTTAGCGTTAAGTTTCAGACACTCCAAAAACCTTTCTGAAAATACTAGTCATCCCCATATTGATGACTAATCTCATTTAAAACAGCACAGCCTCAGCCATTGTGAGCACCTTGAATGCCACTCACTCTCCTGCTTTGCTTCCCTAGGGAGTGCACTGCCTGTGTAGACACTTCGGTCCTCCAGGGTTAACCTCTGAGTTCTGGTTTGCCTTTCAGTTGACCACAGTCGGATTAAACTACATCAAGAAGATAACGACTATATCAATGCTAGTTTGATAAAAATGGAAGAAGCCCAGAGGAGTTACATTCTTACTCAGGTAAACAGATTGTCCGAAATTTTTTTTTAATCATTTTTGCCTTGCTTGATGTCATCCTAAGAGTGCTATTATCTACACCTCAAATAAAATCTGCCACATACTTTAGAAGGTCAGGTTTTAAACAACCCAAAAAAGCAACAAGGAAGGAAAAAATCTTCCTTCGGACATTCAGTTTTGTTGTAACACTAGTCTTTTCTGGGAAGTATGACATTGCTGGGCTTATAAAAAGAGGCATTAAGATGCCAGAATTGCCTGTGGTCTGTGGACAGAGGAGCAGAGCCGTGGCTAGAGAAGGGCCTGAACCTGTATTGATTCCTTAAGTTTTCCCCTCAGCGCCTTGAGTGCTTCTCATGGGAATCTTAGAGGCTTAGCGGTAGACCAGGAACCTTTGCCCAGATATCCGTTCAGAATTCCTGGGCTTGGTCCTCATTCTTTGGCCCAGAAAAAAGCATCGTTAGATTATGTGAACAAATATGCAGAATCACTTAAAAGTCCCCACTGGCTTTTGGCATCTCTATGAAAAAAGAAATCATAAACGTGGTTTAATAATTGACCTTCTTATGAAATACTTACTGGTATATGACCCAAAGCCCATGAATATCTGGGAATGGGGATAAAGGAGTTGATTTTTAATTAATTTTCTCACGTCTTAATCTGTTACCTATAAGTTGGTCTAAACGGTCTAAATTTCTCTCTTTTTTTATTTTATTTTTTATTTATTTATTTTTTTTTGTGAGGAGATCAGCCCTGTGCTAACATCTGCCAATCCTCCTCTTTTTTTTTCGCTGAGGAAAACTGGCCCTGGGCTAACATCTGTGCCCATCTTCTTCCACTTTATATGGGACGCCGCCACAGCATGGCTTGCCAAGCAGTGCGTCAGTGTGCGCCCGGGATCCGAACCGGTGAACCTGGGGCCGCCGCGGTGGAGTGTGCGCACTTAACCGCTTGCGCCACCGGGCCGGCCCGTCTCTCTTTTTTTAAATCATAATTTTTGTTTTCTCATTCCCTACCAGTTTATCGGTCTTATTATGGCTTTGGAATATAGGCTGATTTGAATATCATAATTCTGCTTAATATTTGGAGATTAAAATGATGATGAAGCCAGAAAGCACTATGAGCAAAGGCTGCTCTGGGGCAGGGAGTTATACCAGGGCGTATCCAGCCTGGCCTACATCACTGCCCCTTTCTGTCCTGTCGCAGTTCCTTTCCTTCCATGACCACAGTCAGCCCAGGAGCCTCCCAGTCAGTGTATGGAACGTCAGCCAGGCTGTGTTCAGTCCTGGGGGTCCATTGAGTAAATTCTTGGTATATGAGTAGGGGGCAGGCCTTTACCAGCCCCTCAGCCCATGGGCCTCCCAGCCCCCCGGGGTGGGCTGGGGTGGGGTGACAGAGATTCCTGGTGGTGGCAAGCTGCTGGGAAGAGGTTGAGGCAAAAGTGGCTTCTTCAGAACTTCTCTTTTTAGAAGAATCGAGTCTTACTTCCTGATTTCGGCCATTCAACTTTAGTATGGGGTCAGGAAGCCCAAAGCAAAGATGGGCAGAATGTATGAAGTCAGGTGGAGCTTAGGAAATCACCATGGAAATCACAGTGCTGGCCTCCTACACCCGGTCCCTGGCGGTTACTTGGCACAGCTGAAGTTCTGTCTGTGTTCTAGGTGGTACCACGGATGTATCTAGGTGCTTACGTGGTCTCCTTTTGCCCTGGGATTTACAAAGGGGATCTAAGCAGCCTGACCCCAGAGTTGTACCCCTAGACATTGTGACTGAAACATTTTCGAAGCCACTAAACCAAGAAAGGCCTGCCTATTTTTTGTTTTCGTTGTTGTTCGTGATGCAAATAATAGAAGTCTATAGTCTCTTTCTTTGAAGCCAGAGGTGTAGAAGTGTAGAGAATCATGTCAGAGGTGCCCACCTTCACCTCCCCTGTGAAGGGTTGGCTAAGTTTGGTGTGCGTCCTTTTAGATCCTATGTGATTTTTAATTCATCAGACTCATTCTGGACTGGGGTGATGTTGGGGGCTAGGGAAGGTGACAGGCTAGTAACTGTGGAGGGCCTGGTGACAGAGTCCACATGATTCCTGCCTTCCAGGAGCCGTTTTCTGTTAGTTGGGGGGAAGAGATGCACACATAATCCCTGTGGTCTGGGTCCCTGCAGCACAAACATGGGGTGCAGACTTCGTGGCTCAGGCAGCAAGTCCAAGATGAGTTCAGGGAAGAAGGTGAGAAGGCACTGAGGGCTCTGTGGTCGAGGAAAGTGTGGTGAGGGAAAAGATGGAAACAATAAGGAGAATTGGGGTGAAAATAGGTGAGAATGGAAATCATTCGAGAATAAGTGGTGCTGGCCAGAGGAGGTGGCACGCTCTGACATGGAGGTGACAGGCGATGTCCCTTCCAGGCAGCACTAAAAATTGAGACAAACTGGAGGCATTCGTACCCTTGTGTCCAGTGAGCATCTCTGTCCCTTGCCAGGTGGGGTGGAGTGAGACAGGCCATGCCCCGGTGCCACTGTCCTCCTTGGGCCACCTGACTGACCATTTGTGTGTCCACATCTCTTATGTTCCATGGTCCAAGGATGAAGGCTCTCTGTGGTCAAGTTCGCCATTATTGATAGTAATAGCTAAAATTTTATTGGGTGTTTGCTGTGTTCCAGGTACTGTGGTAAGGCCTTTATATATATGAACATAGTTAATTTTCAAAACCCTATAAGTGGGGGCTATGATTAGTCAAGTAAGATAGATGGAGAAACTGAGGCATGGAGAAGTGAAGTGACTTGTCCAAGGTCACACAGATGATAAGTGATTGGAGCTGGGACTCGAAGGCCAGAGTGTCTCTGTTGATCACTTCCCCACACTGCCTCTCGCCTGCACCAGTAGTTTTGTCCAGTATTCCACCCGCCTTTGGGGATGGACGTCAGTGGAGCCCCTCAGCTGGCCAGCCCAAACCGGAAAGCAGGATCAACGTGTCCTCTCCTCTGTTGCTCAGCCCTGAACCAGCCCTGAGAAGCGGAAATGACCTTTCACTGTGTGTTAGAAAATAGAATTGTGGTTACTGATCACTAGGCAGGGAGAGAGGTGGGGCTCTGTCCCAGCCTCAGCCACCACCCTGCCTGAGGGCACTGTCGTCCCTGAACCACCAGTTGTGAGCTGTCACCGAGGACGTTTCTGTGTAAAACAACCTGTGCTTTGTGGATTGTGTGTTTGCAGGGCCCTTTGCCTAATACGTGCGGTCACTTCTGGGAGATGGTGTGGGAGCAGAAGAGCAGAGGCGTTGTCATGCTCAACAGAGTGATGGAGAAGGGCTCGGTGAGTCCTGGGTTTGTCTGCTGTTTCTGTCACTGTCCGTGTGTATGTCAGCCCATAAAGTTCACATTTTTGTCTGTTTATTTCTTCAAATTGCTATTATATTTCTTTTATGTAGTGTCTTTTTTATAAGGAAAATTAAAGAAGCAACGTGTACATGTTTATTGTAAACAAGTCAGATAAATAAGCAAATTAAGAAGAGGGAAAAAAGGAAAATTGCCCTTGACCCATGCCCCCCAGGGCGTCAGTGGTCTCCCTCCAGAGTGTGGTATGTCTTCTGCTCTCCTCTCCCCTGTGGTGCCTGTGCTGCTGCATCATCACAGAGCTGTGCCAGCGTAGTTTTATTTTGAAAAGCAGGTTGCTACTGTACCTTCATCGTGTCTGCTTTCCTGGCTGATGTAGGTGCCTCCCGTCCACGGAGCCCTGGAAGCAGCTGGGCTCTGGGTGCGCCTCTGCAAACCCCCTGGCTCTCGGCTGCTGGCCGCACCTCTTTGATGTGGGCGGTGTCTGCTTGTGCCTTTACTTCCGGGTTTGCGTCATCCTTCCTTCCAAGCTCTGTGCAACTTAAAGCTTACCTGGGGAAGGGGGCTAGAGGTGTACATTTGTTTAGGCCCCTGCCCCACGTGCATCCGTCCCAGGCTCACTACACCTCTTGCCAGCTGAAAACCTTTCTGGGGCTCCCCACTACCCCCAGGATGTGGCTGCAGGTCCAGCGTGGTTGGGCCCTGTTAGCCTGGACCCCCCTCTCACACCTCCAACCCCAAACTTCAGTCAAGAACAAACTATTTTTTTTCGTTTCTTGCCATGTTCTCTGGGCTAAGGATCTGCATGGTGCCCACCCTCACTCCTCTACGGGTGTCCGTCTAGGGCTCGTGCTCTCCCTTCCTGCACGTCTCACTCTGTGGGGTCTCCCGGGTGAGACTGTGTACGTGTGCAGGGCACTGTGGTGTTCAGCGTAGTGAATAGACACCACATCCCCGCTCCCCAGGCTGCGACACCCCCGCATTTCTGGGGCTCTGCAGCCTCGGAGAGGAGGCCCCAGGAGAAGGGGAGCTGAGGATTTGGAGAGCAACAGGAGCCTGTGACTCGGGCAGAGAACTGGGTGTGCCGGCCTCACCAGGTGCTGGCCTGTGCTCTCTGGGCCCATCGGGCACTGCTCACACAGCTGTCCTGGCCACCTCGGGACACAGACATGGCTTGCCGCAAGAGCATGAGGGCTCCAGAGAAGCCACCCCTCCAGAGAAAGCACAGTCATGGCCCTAGAGGGAGAACTGCAAGTGCAAAGAGGTGGCACGTCAGAGGAGTCCTCAGCAGTGAAAACTCGCAGCCTTCCCTGCAGAGCCACTCCCCTCCCCCGACAGACGCCGTCTGAGTGACGGCAGATGGTCCTCTCGCAGCAGCATTGCTTGAAATCCTGTTTGTCTTGGCCCCCTTTTCTTAAAGGAAAGCATTTATTTGCTCAATAATAATAGATAAAGAGCTTGCCTGAGTGTTCAATTAATGAAATAATGTTTCTTGTCTTAGAAAAAAAATTTTTCCGTGAAAGTGGTTTTTGTTTTTTTCTGCTTCGGTGGCTTCATTAGTAAAACGTGAAGTTGCAGATGTGAAGCAAACCGCCCCCCCGTCACCGCTCCTGTCAGCAGTTTTGAATAAGGAAACAAAACATTAGGTTCCCACCTCGCACACTCTCCCTCCACAGAGGAAAGTGAAACGTGGCGGCTGTGCAGGTGTCGGGGCACAAGCACCCAGGGTCTCTGGGCCTCAGCACTGCTGACCCGGGGGCTGGATCGTTCTGTTACAGTTGCGGGGGGCTGTCCTGTGCATTGGAGGATGTTGAGCAGCATCCCTGGTCTCCACCCACTACATGCCTGGAGCACCCCCACCCTGATTTGTGGCAACCAAAAATGTCTGCACACACCGTCCAGCATCCCTGGGAGGCAGACTTGCCCCCTGTTGAGAAGCACTGTTCTAGATGGTACTGAGGGTTGGGAGTTTTAAATCAAGACTGACTTACTCAAAAATCATCGTGGATGGTAGCATTTGCTTTTTATATATTTGTTGCTAAAAGTTCAGGTGAAACCTCTTTGCCATTTGCACACAGTTTGCTTTAGCTACTGTTGTCACAGTCCAGCAAGGAGCCGAGTCCTGGCACTGTGGTTAATGTCCCTCACCAGGCCTTGCTCTTGGTTGTCTCCCACCCAGGGCTGACCATACATGGACCACAGATCTACTGTGACAGCCTTTCCCCTTGGATTGCTATGTTGGCCGTAAAGAAACATGATTGGTTGGTTTTGTTGTAGTTTACTGTGACAATGTGACAGTAGTCCCTGTTTTCCTTTGTAACCACTCTTTCTACTCAGGGTCCTTGGGGCTTGCAAATTGGCATGAAAAGCAACATATGGTATGAGATTCTTAAAGTTGCCTTGGGATCAACATTTTCAGTTTGGCATCAACGTTATCACCCCTGTAAGGGCTGACTGGGAAAAAATATGAGAAGTTGCAGCCTCTTATTTGCTTCGCTAATCTAATTATAAACTATCCACACAGCCCGTGGTAAAAACCAGCCTGCGGAGTGTTTCCATTTAACGCATATTTGTTTTCTGGTTTCCTTCCTTCACCAAATAGTATAGGATGTTCCCCTCTTATTTTTGGCAAACCTGCCTCTTACCCTTTGGGGACCCCGTGCTTCCTGGAAAACAGTTGTCACACAGTGATTGTGTGTGTTAGACGGGAGTCGTCCACATGGCTCAAGTCCTCTTTGGTTTGATTTAAAAATTGAGTTTAGACTCGTCAGTGTAGAGTGCGTACGTGTGTAAGGATTGGGATTGTTGTCTGGGCTGGGGAAATAAACAAGATGAGTTTACCTTGCTATTCCAGAAGCATCGCCTGTGTCTCTCCTGAAGTCCCTACTGAAGATGCTGTTTGATTTAAGGTGCTTTTGTGCCTGAGACTGGATTTTGTCTTGTTTGGGACCTTAGGCCTGGTCCAGCTCTCTCGTACTCTGCTTGGTTAGTTCTCTGTGTTCATCATTCTTTGGGAATACCAAATCATCTGTCACAGGGTCACCCCAGATGACTTTCTTAGAATTTTGTTAAGGTTGCCTAGCTATTTGTTTTGGAAGGCCCCAAGGACTCTCTCTCCCATCCGCCTTCATGGTGGTAATGGCAGCTGTGACAGACGCCAGTGTGTTGGCGCTGCCATGTTGCTGTTTGGTGCCAACCCAAGACGTGCCTCAATTTGAATCCTGGTGAAGAACTGCTTTCTAATAAAATAAATCTCCTTTTCAGGTCAATATGTATCAGTTTAACAGGCTAACAAGAAGTAGTGATCTTGTGCTTATTTTGTTTTGTTTTATTTTGTGTGTTTAAAACAAAAATTTCTACAGGAAATGACAGAGAGCAGCGCGTGGCATGTTACTGAAGATGCGTAAGAGTTCTTAAAAATAAATACTGGTTGATTGCCACTTAGTATGTGCCAGAATTCCTCAGTTGTAGAGTTCCAAAGTCTTGGTCTTTACCCAGATTACAGAGATTTATTGGGCTTTTTGTTTGTTTTTGAAAGTGAGTGCTTGCCAAGTGGAGGTGGAATTTAAAAGACTCCTCTTCCCTGCCTGTGAGACGTGAAAACATTGGCCTCTTTGGTGGCGATTGGCCATTCTGCATCTCTGCTTCTTTGCTTCCCTCTCCCTCTGCTTGCTGCCTTGGGGGCCCACCCCAGCACCCACCAGGGCCATCTCTTTGTTTCTGGGGTCTTAAGGCATTACCCAAGTGTAATTATTCGAAGTGTGGGAATAAATGCATCCTTTAAGTGTCTTCAAAAGTCATGCTTTCAGCTGCCCCAACACTTTGGCTAAGCGTGGGATCTTGCCGTGTCACTCATGCTTCCGTGTCCTGAGTGGCAGAATTGCCTCAGTGCCAACAGGTTGGCCTCATTCCGGGGGTTGGTCTCTGGCAGCTCGTCATCAGTGTGGGGAAGGGACATGGGTGGAGCTGGCCAGGACTTTCAGGTGGGCCGTGTCTGGGCTCGTTAGAAAGCCCTGTCAGCCTTCTGTTTGGGCACCGTGAAGTCTGATGCTGCGTCGGCATCACACTCTGGTGTTCCTTGATTTGTTTCTCTCTCTCTCTGCCTTTGTGCTGTTTTTTGGTCAGCGAGCAGCTTCAGTAGAGCAGGACTGATAGGCATTTGTGGTTCCATCTCCACCTCCTTGAGAGCCTGCTAGTTCCTCAGTGTCCCAGGTGAGGTGCTGGTTCCTGGGCCCGCTGCCAGAGTCGGGCGTGGTCTGGGCCTCCGTTAGCCACATCTCCGCTGCTCCTCTGAGACTGGCTTCTTTGCAGTCACTGCCTAGGAAATCCTAGTCATCCTTCAAAACACGCCTCTGTCAGAGGCCGCTTCTTCCATAGAGCCTTCTCTGATCTCTCTTTCTCGTAACCTCAGCCAGCCTGAAAGGTTTATCTCCTCTGAATTCCCATGGCACGTCCGTAGTGTTTCCCTCGGGCCACCTTGTCACTGCTGCAACAGTCTGCCCTGACAGACAGGCTGGCCCTGGAGGGCCTCCCTCCACCTGCTGTGGCCTTTCAGGCACAGTCATCCTTTGCCCCGGAGGCGGATTTGAGTGGGTCAGTGTGTGCTGAATTACAAGTGTCTTGAATTTGTACCATTTACCAAAGAGCTGTTTACACACACTGATAGTTCACTTGTGGAAATCGTAGTGTCTTTGAGGTTCCCTCTGTCCAGGCGGTGCCATCCTTCTGGCCCTTGGACCTGGCAGCTTAGCCCCGTCTACCTCCAGCTGTTGTCCAGAACCGTCATTGGCGAGCAGTCTGAGTAACTGGTGCAGAAACTTAGCTCAAGCAAAGGATGCCACAAAATTGGAGTCAAATTTTCTTTCTTAAACTCCAAACGAAACCAAATCTTTGGGAGTTTTCTTGCTTTAAAGAAAAGGTTAATGTTACATTTAAATCAAGACCATCACGTAGTTTCTGAAATTATTAAACTAGAACTTTGAAAGTATTTTTCTGAACTGAACCAAACCAGAATGAAAGGGTGGGGTGGGGCAGTGGGTGGTGCCAAACCGTGGAGGAGCCCCTCTCAGGCCTTCTCGGGACGGTAGTTTGCGTTCGATCACAGCCCTTCACTCTTCAGGGGTTTCACGAGCAGGGGCTCCTCTGGGCTTGTTCTCACTTAGCCTGTTATATTCCTCAGGGGAGGGATGTACCCTATGCCAGCGGCACTGAGCAGTGTCTTGGCAGTCATTGAAATGGCTACGTAAGGTAGTTTGTGAGCGACTGAACCTCTTGTGCAATCTGGCTCCACCTCGTCGATGAGAAGGAAAGGATCAGACCCCCGAAACACCTCATTGTGTGCATAACCAGGAGCAGCTTGGTTTGGAAGTCTGAGCCTTGTGTGCACAACTAGCCCTGGCTAGATCTTCATGGGCCCCTCCGCATCTCCTCAAGAGGCAGGCAGGTTACGATGACAGCAACTTCCAAGGTCAGACGACCCCAAGCCTTTGGGTTATCATAAAGCTCGTGGAAGGTACACTGAACCTCCTGTCATAGGAAAATAGTCAATTGCTCACAGTAATTCAGTGTTATTTTCTCTCCTAGTTAAAATGTGCACAGTACTGGCCACAAAAAGAAGAAAAAGAAATGATCTTTGAAGACACAAATTTGAAATTAACATTGATCTCTGAAGACATTAAGTCATATTACACAGTACGACAGCTAGAGTTAGAAAACCTCACAGTGAGTATGGCATGCCCTTGATTAAGTCCTTCAGATGGTTATTGGCTGAGACCTCTCTTCCCTTGGGTGATACTACCTAAGGCCAGTCTGTCCGGGTTTTGTTTACGCTGAGCAAAGTGTGGTTTGGACACCATGGTGACCAGAGGTGCCTGAGGGGGCGGGAGGAGGGTCGTAGGTACCTCCTTCTCCATGGAATTCTCTCCAAACTTTAACACCTACTTCACACCAGTTCTTAGGGAGAAGGGAGTTTCTTACCTAAAACTTATCTATTCCTGCCTTTGCAACTGCAGAGGTCCGGAGGGGGCAGCCTGCAAGTTCCGTCCCAGCAGAGCATACTGCCTTCTTGCATTATCCACAATCTCTTTAGACTGAAGCAGGGGAAGAAGGGCCCTCCTTTCCAGGGCTGACTCGATTCATAGCCCGTGTAAGTTTTCTAGGTGAGGTCTTGGGTTCATTTGTTGTGGGAAGGAATTTATAACGCCAGCTGCTGGCTGTCAATAAAAGGTGGTCTTGGGACATGACAAGGCACTATTCTAAGAAACAGCACCCCGGAAGGCCCTGCCCATGCGGATTCTGAATAATTCACCTAAGCCATCACTCTGAGGGACCCGTGCCAGTACAGGGAACCGTGGAAGGGAGCCCAGGACAGCTCCTGGGGGCGCCCTCAGACACAGTCGTCAGCCACCACACTCTGGAACTAAACTGCCTGGGGTTGATTCCTGGCCACCATATCAAACTGCCAGACTGTGGGCAAGGGGGTGTCACGTCTCATGGTGTCTCAGTTTCCTCTGCTGTCAGATTGGAGGGGGTGATATATGTGAAGTGTTGGAGCACCAGGGTCAGAGCGCGCGAGGGAAGGGTTAGCAGGTCCCGTGGGGTTATTCGAGGAGCACTGCGGATGAGCCATCAGAAGTAAAGGTGGGGCGCTGGGAGGATCACGTGGTTTGGGGCTTGCTGGGCTGTGTTGAAGAGGAAGATCTGCTTCTGAGCTACATTCGCGTCTTAGTTTTCAACTTTCTGCTCTACGGTCACCATGACTCCTGGTGTTGAAGTAAGATCGAGAACTTAGCACAAGTTACTGTAAAGCAGAGAAAAGGTTAAAATCGCATGGCTGTTGAGGAGTGCAGCGGTGCACTTTATCTGAGTGCTCTCTCCTCTCCCGGTGATAGCAGGAGCCCTGCCCTTGCCCTGCGCAGAGGCGCTGGGGACATGATTGATGGCGGGGTGTGATGGAGGATTTTCAGGAATAATGTTGGCAGCCTATTGGAATGTGCCTGGAGGATTATGTAGCAGACTTTTTAAATGCTTTTTAGCGTTTGCAAGCCTGACGTTTGAAGAGTGACTTCTGGTAAACACAAGAAAATCTCTCCTGCTTATTGAGAGAAACAGACATGGGACAGAGCAGAAGAGGCTGGTGCTGTTCGTGTGGCGGGGTGAATGCAGCCTGTGAGGCTGTGATGTCTGGAGAAGCTGTTTGCTCGATCAGACTTTGTTTCTAAAAAGTCTGTCCTCAGACATGTGTATCTGTTGAAGCACAGGTCTAGAATGAATTCCCTGAGAAAGAAGTGGGCAGGCGTGAGGAGGGTGTAAACAGGTGATAACCCACACACGTTTTTAAGGATTAAAAGAAAGAACTTACTTTTGGCATGTTTTCTTATGCAGTTTTTTAAAATATATTTTTAAGTGCTTTTCTTTCCCTAAAAAATAGAAGAGGCATTAAAGTATAAGGAGATTATTTTCTAGGGAGGAAAGAATGGAGTGCTTTGTGTGATCCCATAAGTTATCCTGCTGTCATATGCGGCTGTCTCCGGCTCTGCAGGCAGATACCAGTGTGTGTCGTGGCTGGCTCAGGGTTGAGTGTGTGTGTTCTTTGCTAGTTAGTTAGGTCGTTGTGTTCATCACAACAGGGTCAGGGAGGGTTGTTATAACTAAGCTGTGAGCTCTGGCGGGCAGAGTGGTGTCTTCACCTCGTCGTTGCCTGGCATGGTGGCTGGTATGTGGTTGCCACGTGGTGGACACTTCCCAGATGAAGGGAGATGTTGTCGGTAAGCAGGTCTCCCACCTGAAGCCTCTCGCCGTCAGCTGCTCTCCAGGTGGCCTGGGCACTGAGCTGGCCCTTGGCACCTCGCAGCAGGAGACCCTCAAGGCTGGGGTGGCGCCTGTCTGCAGGCTTCCTCTGTGCCCCTCCAGCACAGCTTGCAGGCCTCCCTTCCCAGGGACCTCTTCCCTCTCACCGTGCCCCTAGCTCAGGAAAGATCTTGGGTGCTCTCCTCCCGGCGAGGACTGCGTTTTGATCATCGCTGCTGGAGAGCACTCTCCACTCTGGAAGTGGACTCTCGTAGGCTCGGAGTAAGGAGCAGAGCTGGAAAGGGCACCCGAGCCCATTCTTCTTTCTGCTTCTTGGAGATCAGACCGGGCCAGGGGGAGAAACACTTGGGAACTAGAGCCGGGGTCCTCCTTTCAAAAGTTCTGGAATGGGCTCTGAACGTGGGCTCTGGGGTCAAGAGAACTTAGATTTGAACTCCTACTCCCCCACTTAATGGAAAGTTGGCCTCCGAGCCTCGGTCTCCTAATCTGGAGAATGGGAATGATGGGAGTGCATGCCTCGAAGGGCTAGTGTGAGAACTCAGTGAGCCGAGGTGCCCAGCTCTGAAACAAAGTAGCTCTCAGGTCATGGGGCCGGTTGTTGCTGGTCTTGTCAACATCCTCCTCATCATGGATCATCTTCCGCCAGGTTGTGAGCCACACATGGCAGCCATCAGTGAGTGGCTGAGTTAATTACGTTATCGTCTTATAAAGCCCCGAGTTCCCCAGAGCTGGTGCCGCACACGTGTGGGTTCATTTTCCCTCGGGTGAAACTCCTGCTTTCTGACAAGGCTATCGTGGGGGGCAGTGCAGCATCCTTCTGACTCGTGGGGTGGAGAGAAATCATTGTGACCATGAAGACAGCAGAGGTGATGGGGACATTGGAGAAAAGAAGTGGGCGAGACTGTCCCGTCCTAAAGGAAGTGAAGTCAAGCAGGTCCAGCGTGGAGCACAGGGCCCAGCGTTCGTGCTTGGTGTGTGTGGACTAGACACGTGACCCCTGGGAGGAGGCCTGAGCATTGAAGCTGCTCTCAGAGATTGATGGGCCGGAAGGCTCTTCGTGCTTACTGGGAATTAGTCATTTCTGTACAGGTGGTTCTCTTAGAAGCGTCATGAGTATTTTTCTCTTTCAGTCTCAAGAAACTCGAGAGATCTTACATTTCCACTATACCACGTGGCCTGACTTTGGAGTCCCCGAATCACCAGCCTCGTTCCTGAACTTTCTTTTCAAAGTCCGCGAGTCGGGGTCCCTCAGCCTGGAGCACGGCCCCATCGTGGTGCACTGCAGTGCTGGCATCGGCAGGTCGGGGACCTTCTGTCTGGCCGACACCTGCCTCTTGCTGGTAAGGAGGCCCTCGAGGACCCCAAGAAGAGAAGGGACACATTGACACCTCTGCTCTGGCCTGGCCACAGCTTCTCTGTTATCATCTCTGCAGTAAATCAGCTTTGATCTTCGCTTTTTATAACTTCCTTCCCATGAAAGTAGCGTTGTTTGGCAGGATGCTCTTAATTTTAAAGTGGAATCCAGGAAGATCCAAAGAATCCCCCTCTCTGTCATTCTTTCCCCTGCACTCAGTGGTCCCAGTTTTGCTGCCTTTTCTCACCTTTTCTAGTACTCAGCCTTCCCCACTGTGGTTTCCCTGAGTAGAACGGGAGCTCTCGTCCAGAACGCACAGTCACACTGTGCTGGGCGGTTGGAGCTGGCTGAGTTGCGTAAGTCTCCTCTCTGGCTTTCAGATGGACAAGAGGAAAGACCCTTCTTCTGTTGATATCAAGAAAGTTCTGTTAGAAATGAGGAAATTTCGGATGGGACTGATCCAGACAGCAGACCAGCTCCGCTTCTCCTACCTAGCTGTGATCGAAGGTGCCAAGTTCATCATGGGCGACGCTTCAGTGCAGGTCAGCATTGCTTTTGCTTTTGTCCAGATGTGTTGACTGTAAAGTTTTGTCTCTGAAGAAGGAGGCTGTCAGTTGTCAAAGTTCAAACACTATCATATGTCAGAGGAAATAGCTGTCCTTTGGTTTAAATAGCTAGAAGGTTGTGGAGATGTTCACCGTGTTCCAATTTGTGCCTTTGAAGTACTCACATAGAGAACATTGAGAGGGAGAACAGACTGTTTTCAGATTTCATCTTCCGAGCATGTCTGGAGACCCAAGGAGCAGAGAGAGCCCCTCACCAGCTGCTCACTAGCCTGTCACCTCTGTTCCTTGAAAGGGGAGCAGATTTCCTGGCGAACCAGCCAGACGTGAACAGTAATGGGACTTCCTCTTGCTGCCTTTTCCAGGAGCAGTGGAAGGAGCTCTCCCATGAGGATCTGGAGCCCCCACCTGAGCACGTCCCCCCACCTCCCCGGCCACCCAAACGAGTCCCGGAGCCACACAATGGGAAGTGCAAGGAGTTCTTCCCGAACCACCAGTGGGTACAGGATGGGACCGAGGAGGAGAAAGACGGCCCCATCAAGGAAGAAACTAGAACCCCCTTAAGTGTGCCCTGCAGCATGGAAAGGTAATGTGAGGGTCCTGGCTTATTGGGGGCGAGGGGAAATGACTTTCTGTTCCAGAAACACATGTTGATATTGAAACCCTGTGGACACAGCCTCCTCTTGGCACACAGCACTTTTACGTCCTTGGGGAACGGGGCCCCTGGACCATGCTGCCCGTCCCCTGGCTGGAGGACACGGGGATCGAGCCACGGGTTGGCCCAGGAAAGTGATGACTTCAGTTGGGGTCTAGCACCACCTTGTGGTCTCGTTGGAATCAGGAGTTTGTCAAGGCTGAGTGGGGTCTTGCCACCCTTTAAATGACAGTGCCCTCCTCCAGGCTTCTAGCCAGGCCTGAAACGTGATGTCCAGGCTTGACCACGGACCTTCAGCCCCCAAGATGGTCCTTTTGGGAACTTGACCTTTTCATGCAGTTGTGATTAAAGTGGTTGTCATTTTGCTTCCTTGTAGTTTAACAAAGATATTGAGCACCTGTTGATGCCTGTGACTCTGAGATAACTAGAACGTGGCCCCTCGTCAGTGTTCTAGATCATCTTGTTGAGAAGGGCACGGTAGATTGTAGTGGAAGCCCGTGGACAGTGATGTGATGGGGGAGCCCTCTGAGGTGGTCAGCCTTAGAGAAGAGACGCTGAACCTTCCCAGATGGTCAAGGAAGGCTGCTTGCAGGAGGTGGCACCATGTGGAAGCTTAAAGAATAAGTGGGAGTTAGCCGAGCCTGAGACTGTGGGGGCAGTGCCCTTGCTGCCTGCTTTTTGGAGGGCAGTTTAAGATGAGTGCACGTTTTGACTCAGCATTCGGATAGTTCTAGTAATTGAGCTTGCAGCAATTCTCAAACAAGTGTGCAAAGAGATGTGTAGGTAGAGTTGCTCGTTGTGGCGGCATCTGTAATGGGGAAAGTTAGAGATGAGCCCATGATGTATCCAGAGATTAGATAAATCATGCTTTCTCTCTGTGTTGGAGATTCTGCAGCTGTTAAAGAATGGGATCTGGGGCTATCAATGTGGCCAGACATTGGGGTTACAGTACATGAGAAAGCGAGTTACCCACGCTGTGTGCCCCACTGGGTCCTCTGGCTAATTTCATCATCAGAATCTCACTGGGCACCTTGCTAAATGCTGATTGCCAGGCCCCAGTCCTGACCCATGAACCTGAATCCCCAGGGTTCTTCGTGCCCCAGGTACTTACCATAGGAGCACAGGATCTGGCTCTGGGGCTTGAGAGACACTTGTCCAGTGGGGTCTTCCAGAGCAGGTGCCATGTGACGTGCTGAGCAATGGCTCAGTGACTCTCCCCCAGTGAGACTGTGCCCAGCTTCCCAGGGCCTCTGTTGACGTTCTCAGGGTGGGCCCGTGTGCTCCATCTGAGGGCTCTCTGAGGGCCTAGGATGAGAGAGACGGGAGCTGGCAAATGACTTGTGTCACATTCATCTATGTGTTCTGTTTCTTTATTCATCAAAACTTGTGGAGAGTGGTGCCTTTCACACTGTGTGTGAAGGTGGTAAGCAGGGAAGTGTGGATTTGGGAAGCTAAAAGGCAGAAAGTGCCAGAAAAATGGAGTGCCAGAAAAATGGAGTTGTACCAAAAACATAAGTGCCACTGGACACCAGTGGGAGCCCACGTGCACACAGGCCTCAGTCCTGCAGCCAAGGCCTCGCAGGGTGGGTGCCAGAAAGCAAGGGCTTCGTGCAGCCTCCTCCTGTCTCCAGGCAAGGTGGTGCCTCAGGTGGTCCTGCCAGTCACACAAGATGCTGCTGGGGTGGGAAGGCCGTGGAGATGCACATGTGAGCCAGGACTTCTGTGGCCAGGGCCTCCTTGATGGAGACAAGGGTGGACAAGGAAGGGCCTAGGGAAGGGAGGAAGAGGAAAGCCTGGCTCCTCATGGTCCCCAAGCCTTTGCTGGCCTCTCTCGAGAGCCCTGGAGCGAGAACACAGTGCACGTCGTCCCCGCCGGGTGGCTCTGGCTCGCCACTAGGAAGGCAGCTGACAGACTGCGCACAGAACGCCTGGGCGCCGGTCCTACTGGCAGGATTGGATTGGTGCTGGGGACTCAGACCTGCAGTGGGGTGGGCAGAGGGTCAGTGCTGAAGGGCAGTGGGAATGCATGGTGTCTTCGTGTCAGCAGTGACAAGGGCCCTGTGAATCAGCACCTCTAGGGTGCCCAGGGTGGAGATGGTAGCCTGTGGGCCGTGCCGTTGCCTTCCCTGATCTGAAGGGGACCATTCCGTAAGCAGACCCCAGGGCAAAGTTAGCACCTGTCTTTGCACCAGTGGCTGTATTTCTCCTCAGACCCTACCACCCTCTACCACCAAGGAGTCCGCAGGTCTCCAGAACCCTACCCTGGCTGTGGGGGCCACCTGGGCCCCCGGGGGGAGGCGGTGACAAGTGGGCTTCAGGCCACTGTCAGCATTGCCGTGCTCGTATTTTCCTAGAACTCCTCCCATAATGATCGCGTCCTTGCCATCCTTTTCCCAGAGTGAGTAACCGCTCTCTGCCCCTCTCATTCCTCAGCACGAGTCAAGACACTGAAGTCAGAAGGCGGGTCGTCGGGGGAGGTCCTGCCCAGGGGGAGCCGTCGCCACCTGAGGAGCAGCAGGACCAGGCGCTGACTCACTGGAAGCCCTTCCTGGTCAACATGTGCATGGCCACAGTCCTCACAGCCGGCGCGTACCTCTGCTACAGGGTATGTTTTCACTGACGGACATGCTGGCAAGACCGTGTGTACAGAGAGCACTGGCCAACAGCCTGGCGTTAGCGTCCAGCGCTGTGCAAGGATCTGAGCCAGTCTCAGAAGAAACAGATCAAAGGTTTTTAAAGTCTGGAACTGTGAAGGGCTAAAGAGAGAATTGAGGATTGATGCACTGGGGTTTTAAGGAGCCCTGTGGTCCCAAGAATATGAGAGTCTAATCTCAGGGCCTTAACCTATTCAGGAGTAAGTAGAGAAAATGCCAAATACGTCTCTCTCTCTCTTTTTTTTTTTGGTTCATTTGTTTTTGAAAAAAAAATAGTAGAATTACAACACATTGTTGTTTTTAACCTTTATAAAAAGCAGCTTTTTGTTATTTCTGGAAAAAAAGACTAGGCACTTATGAAACTTTCCTGTACCCGTACCCTTAGGTGGTGTAAGCAGATACACAGTTTCTATTTGGTTTCCCAGGGAAAGACTCCACACAACGAATGTAAACTCCTCTGGAGAAGAGGGTCTGAGGGTTAGGACGCCGTCTTGCTCGGTCTCTTCCTCTGCTGTGCGCACACTGAGCATGGACCGTGCCCACAAGCTTTCCCGTTTTAAGAAGAATAACAAAAAAGGCCATCTCTACAAAACAAACCTGGCCTCTGCTTTTGCTCAGGGTGTCCCTGCTGGTTTCCATCGTTCATTTCTCCATCCATCCCTTCTTGTTATGGCCATCTTGCTCATGTTCTGCCCTCCTCGCTCCATCCCCAAAAACGGGGTTCCTCGAGGCCCCTGCCTCAGGGTCAGAGGTCACCACAGGGTGGCCACCAGATTTCACCCTGCTGTCAAGATCCAGAAGGAGCAGTTTCCACCTCATTTGGGATATAAATACCATTTCAGTAGAAGTCCACACATTAAAAGTGTGTTGCTGTTAAAGTGAAGAGAGAGGATTAGCCTCAAAACTCTGGTCACGGAAATCACCTCACAAGACTTTTTTTTTTATGATTTTAAATATTTTACCTCTTTCGAAGCGACCATCTTTGAGTGCATCAGATGGTTTAGCAATGAGCAAACAATTTTTTCCTTAGAGGTGAATTTTGGGAAGGGGAAGCTATCGTAAAAAAAAAAAAAAAAAAAAATTAAAACCCCCTTCACTGGGGGCTGGAGTGGCCAGGGGTGGGGTGGCTGGGCTGGGACGTGAGGCTGTGGCTCTGCAGCGGTGGGTCCGGGCTCATCTGAAAATGTTTGGTTTCATTCCAGTTCCTGTCCAACAGCAACACGTAATCTGACCCACCTCCACCCCCCTGTCCGCCTCTGCTCGTGTAGCCCGAGCTCAACTAGCAGGCAGCCGTGGTAGGTAAGGGCCAACAGACAGCATAGCCAGCCGTGACCCAGACGGACGTTTGTTGTGCACTAAAACTACCGTCCGCAGGCTGTTGGTCTCCTGCCTTATCCTTTAATTTTTTTCCCCCTTTCCTTCCTTTGAGTACCAAATCCACACCCATTTTTGGAGGAGAGCACTGTGCTGGTGACACAGAGAGGTGGCCTGCGCACGTCATGAGGTTCACCTCACGCGGTGCTCCTGCTCCGTGTGTCCCAGGCGGGCGGCACACGACGTCCTCCCCATAGACCTCCACAGGGACTGCGTGTAGGAGCCTCTCCACTCGATATTTATTTTTTTCCCCAAAGGCATCCATAGTGCACTAGCATTTTCTTAAACCAATAATGTATTAAAATTTTTTGATGTCAGCCTTGCATCAAGGGCTTTATCAAAAAAGTACAATAATGAACCCTCAGGTAGTGCTGGGGACAGAAGACTTTGGGGTGAGCCTGTGTGTCAGACCAGTACTAGAAAGGAGGACCGTTGTAAGCAGTCGTTATTTGGTGACACTGTGGGTAACATGAGAAGAGGTTCGGCAGATGTTTATAGAACAGTGGGGTAATATATAATGACCCCTTGGATATTTAAGATACGTGATGTGAAGATTCCCCTCTCCTGGTCGTCCCCCTCCCTGGTTATCTGCTAGACTCCTGTTCGCGGTCACCAGTCACCGCTCCCCCTGTGTGTATTAGAATGCATGTACCGTCTTCCTGTGTCCAGATCAGATACCACGTGCTTGAAATACTTAGATCTCTGCTTACTTATGTGCCCCCATGTACAAGTCCAGTCTGCCTTTGCATGATCTGATCATTACATGGCTGTGGTTCCTAAGACTGTTGCTGAAATAATCGCCATTCAGCAATGGAGTGATGTTTTCCAGTAACAGATATTTGCCTAATTCCTGGCATGACACTCTGGTGACTTCCTGGTGAGGCCCAACCTGTCCTGGTCCAGCTGGGTCCCACTGTAACTCAGACATTCCGAGGGTGTGGGAAGCCATAGTCACACCTCACACTCTGGACATTGAGCCAGGCAGGGTCTCCCCCCCAGCACCTTTGGGATCAGCCTTCACTCTCCAAGTTCACATTCTTCTTGAGTAGACCGTGATTTGGAATCAAGGCAACTGTTGGAAACCACACTTCTTGAAACAACCTGGGTGTTTCCCTTAGAGTCGGCCTGCTGCCGTCTAGGTCCGGGGGGCCCTTGCTGAGAGAGGCGTGTCTGCCCCTGCCCTTGACCCTGGGGACTGATGGTGCTCACGACTCTTCCTGTGAGGGGAACTTCAGATCTCCACATTAAGTGGCTTTTTTAACAAGAAAAAAAGGCAGCTGTAGCTCATGAGCTGCTCTTTTGCCAGCATTTTCACATTTTGCCTTTCACGTGTTAGAAGCCCGTGCAGAGAAATTCTGTGGTGGGAACATTTGCGGCATCGCCCCGCAGAGCCTTGGTGAGGTGTGGAGAAGGCTGAGATGCCAGGCTGTGAGCGTTTCTGAGTTGGGCCTATTTGTTTGTTCCTGAAGTCCTGTATATGTATGTAGTAGTTTGGGTGTATATATATAGTAGCATTTCAAAATGGATATACTGGTTTAGCCTCCTATCCTTGGAAAACAGATGGCTCTCCATCTTGTTACATGTATGTTAGAGAAGTAGCGAGCTGCTCTGCTATATGCCTTAAGCCATTATTTACTCATCAGGTCATTATTTTTTACAATGGCCATGGAATAAACCATTTTTACAAAAATAAAAACAAACAAAAAAAGTGAGGTGTTTTGGTATAATACCTTTTCAGGTGTGTGTCTACGTGGATGCATGACAGGGTGGGGTGGGGGGCGTCTCAGGGTCTTCTGTGACCTCACAGAACTGTCAGACTGGACAGTTTTCCAACTTGCCATATAAATGATGGGTTTGCATTTTAGTTGCAACAATAAAATTTTTTTTCTAAAGAATGTGGATTTGGAGTGCTTCCCATTTCTTTGTCTAATGGGCCTAAACCAAGATGGGCACCTCCTGTCCCTGTCCACCCCTGCTGATGGGAAGCAGACATTGTCCGTCCAGCGGGGTCGTAGTTGTCCGCGTCTCAGAACTATGGCGGCCTCTTGCAGTGGGAGTGCCTTTGGGCTGGGGGCACTGTCCCTGCCTGGTGAGTTTATTTAACACTTCAGGCCTCAGCCCATTTCCTTCAACAGCAACAAACCCCACCTTTTGAATGGATAACTTAAACTTCTACAAGTTGTTTGAAGAACTGTTCAAACCTCATAAGAATGTGTCCCATCACCAACCGCCTGTGAGACACAATGGTTATCCCATCTCGGTACCTCCGTGGAGGCATGTTTGATGTGGAATTGACATAGAGATGATGATGAGATGTAAAAAACTCTTGTAGTCTTCCTTTCGTGTACAAGATTAAATGTAAATCCTAAAGTGATTTTTAGACTTGGTTGTGAAATAATTTCAGACTTGCAAAATGTTGCAAAAATAGTACAAAGAATTCCCTGTAGCTTCAAGGCTTCCTGACTGTTTCAAAGCTGGCCGCCAAGGAAGCTGTTTGTGCCATGGCCTTGCAGCATGCCCCGTAGGAGCAGGCATCGGAGCCTTCAGAGAGCACCGGGGAGAGCCCAGGGCCACACTCCTTCACCCCACCTGCTGTGGAGACCCGCCTCACCGAATCCACACTGGAGAGGGGAGCATTAAGGGACAGGAGGGGCCGTCCCCCCACCACCACCCCAGGAGGTTTGGGGCAACGGCCACTACTTTCTACTTTTCTCAGGTAAAGTAAAACACCAATAAAAATCGTTTTTTTAATTGAAATTGCAGAAAATTGAACATATGAACAAGGCAAATAAATACTAAGTTAAACCAAAAAGCACAAAATATATACGGGAAGTTTAAATGAGAACGTTTAAGTTACAGAATTTTCCAATGCCACTGTTGACAGCCACATTCAAACCCAGGTTCTCGACGTTATTCACACAGACAGCTCGGGGCATGGAGCTTTTTCAATAGACTTAAATAGGCAACTAATTTTCTTTCTTTAAACATGTTCTTCAGTGAAACCTTTCTTCAAGCCAGCCTGTGGCTTCTGAAGCGATTTATTTAATAGGCCCTCAGTGGACTGGCTTCAGAAGTTGGATTCCATGTTGATTAGTGAGGTCAGAGCAAGTGCTGCTGCTGATGTGACACTCGAGGCTTCGTGGCCCGGGGCATCTTCTTTCATTCATGCTACTGACCAGTAGAAACAAGGCCCACGGTCAGCAGGCTCCACCGGCTCCACGGTGGTGTCTGGGCTGCAGCTCGTGTTAAGAAAGTGCATCGTAGAACCCTGGTTCTGTGTGTCCCCACCTCCGGCTCACCAGGGGACAGTTTGCTGCTGTTGAAATAACTCGGCCCACCACACTCGCCTTAGCACCGGCAGTTGGCCCGCTCGCCGCCTCAGTCCCAGTCTTCAGTGAACCGGCAGTGCTGGGTCAGCCGACCCGCAGGGAGATCTCAAGTTCAGCATGTTCGTCTTGGAGCTTTTTATTCCAGGCCTCCACCTGCCTGGCCTTGGCCCCTTCATAGCATGACTGGCTGGCGCTGACCCAGCTCTGCATCCTGGGAAAGGTCAGACCTTGTCAGAGCCAAAAGCTGATGGTCTGATGGAAGTTGTGCCGCCCTCGGAGTGCAGGGTGTCACCTTTTCCTGCTCCCGTGCAGAGGCCTCACTCATGCCCTGGGGCTCTGTAACTGGTCCAGAGACTCAGGGAGTGGCTCTGGCCAGCTTACACTTCTGGGGGAGCACACAGGGTGCCCCCACCTGAAGCTCAGTCCCCGTGTCGAAGCCGGGCAGCAGCAAACATCAAGATGCCAGATTTGAGCTCATCAGCTGAGGCTTCTTAAAATATCGTGATTTCAACATCTGCCTCTTGGCAAAAGGCTTCTTTTTGTTCTGAGCAAAGTTTGTCCATCTTCTCAAAAGCTAAGCGTCCTTTTTCACCTGAAATATTAAGGTGATCTGTCACTGGATTGTCCCCCACCCCAGTGTTTGCTACTCTGGCGGGCAGAGGTGGCCTTGGGACTTACTGACGGTCTCGGGTGCTGCTGTGAAGGGCAGAGGTGGGGAGCCCCTGCCAGCCAACCCGCATGGACCCAGTGCCTCATCCCTACATCCATGACAGTCTGCTGCACTTTAGTCCTGCCTTGCATCTGACTCAGGCCCAGGGGTCATAAACTGAAGCTTAAGAAGGAAATCGCTTCTTGCCACCCCAACCATGGAGGAAGCCTGCCTTGGTCAAGTGCAGGTGAGCGGGTCACTGACAGGGCCTGTCCTGTGTGCTGTTTTATATCTTTTGAGGTCTGGCCCTGGCCTCGAGCACAGCCTTTCTAAGGACCTGGGAACCCCCTGCACCACACACAACATTTCATGCTGGACTTTACCAAATGACAGTGTGGCTTCCCGGGCTGCTGCTCGCACGGCCTCCAGGTCAGACTGGCATAGGCTGGCGATCTGATCGATGCTTTCGATGCCCTGTTTGAGGTGGGGTGAAAGAGGGTCCATTAGGGGGCATTGTAAGTAGCAGGTGGAATCCACTGTCATAGGCCCTGCAGGCCCAGCCCCAGCATGGTCTTGGGGGCCTCAGCCCCTTCCCTTTCTGAAGGCTTCCAGGTTTCTTATGTGGCTCACGTTCCTCAGAAACACCATTGGAAGCATCTCCCCTCTTCAGCCCTGACACCTGCAGCAAGCCAGGCCATCAGCAGAGCTATGTGAACACACCTTCTGAAAGGCCGGCCTCCCTCTGGACCTTCCCACCTCCCCCCTGCTCTGCCAACCGTCCCCTCCAGGGCAGACTGTGAGAGGAGCAGTCAGGGCCCGGCTCAGACACCTGACCCCAGTGGCTCCTCCGGGGCCAAGGACCAGAGAGCACTTCTGCTCCGTGTTGGCACCCTTCCCCTCTTACTGGCTGTTGGATTACCACCAGATGGTCCTGCTAGAATTTCCTGTGGATTCACTCCAGAAAGAGTAGGGTGAGTTTAATCAATATGGGACTGTTCTTCACCTAGCAAATGGGCAATGGTTTTTTTAAATGAGAGTTCCAGTGCAGGTGAGGTTGAGGTAAAACGGGTGTCCCCTCACTTCTGCTTTTGGGAGTGCCAGTGGGTGTGCTGTATCAAGAGTCTTGTTCATATTCTCGGGCCCTGGAGTGACACTTTGGAGAGTCTAGCCTAAGGAAATAATTCAGAACTCTGTTTTAAAAGCTTTATGCACAAATGTGCTCATAATAACGTCATAATTTAAAAAATGGCCTGGATAGCTCAGTTGGCAGAGCATGAGACTTTTAATCTGAGGGTCCAGGGTTCAACTCCCTGTTCAGGCGTTGGCTCTTTCTGTTTGGGGCCAGCCTGGTGGCGTAGCAGTTAAGTTTGCATGTTCTGCTTCGGCGGCCCAGATTTCGCTGGTTGGGATCCTGGGCACGGACCTGCTCACAGCTCATCAAGCTATGCTGAGGCGGTGTCCCATATAGAAGAACTAGAAGGACCCACAACTAGGATATACAACTATGTACTGGGGGCTTTGGGGAGAAAAAAGAAGAAAAGAGGAAGATTGGCAACAGATGTTAGGGCCAATCTTCCTCGAAAACAAAAACAAAAAACAAAAAAAAGGATAAAAAACCTAAATTTTCTACAGTACGAGTGGGGGTGTAGATTAAGGTATAGACTTGATAGACCCTTCATAAAGAATTCTAAAGCACACCAGTCTAACACAAAAAGTTCTTATTTTGCTCATTGTTTTTAAACTATATTTTATTTATTTATTTATTTATTTTAATATATCTTTTTGTTTGTTTGTTTGTTTGTGAGGAAGATCAGCCCTGAGCTAACATCCATGCTAATCCTCCTCTTTTTGCTGAGGAAGACCGGCTCTGAGCTAACATCTGTTGCCAGTCCTCCTCCTCTTTTTCCGCCAAAGCCCTAGTAGATAGTTGTGTGTCGTAGTTGCACATCCTTCTAGTTGCTGTATGTGGGACGCGGCCTCAGCATGGCCGGAGAAGCTGTGTGTGGGTGCGCGCCCGGGATCCGAACCCGGGCCACCAGTAGCGGAGCGTGCACACTTAACCACTAGGCCACGGGGCCGGCCCTAAACTATATTTAATGTGATCAGCAACTTGAAATGCTCCCACACCCCCCCAAGCAAAAATTATATATACCAAAATATCAATAGTAGTTTGCACTGTTGTATGATGGATAACTTATCTTTTACATTTCTGTATTGTACACTCTTTTTTTTTTGTTTTCTACAATGAGCTTATTGTGCTTTTGGAAATTTTTTAATTGAGGACATTAAAGCATATTATAATCGAAGAGCTCAGAAGCGGGTCCCTGGGCCCACCTGCTGCTTCAGGCAGAGCCAGAGCAAATGCTTACTGTTGTTGGGGGGCCTCCGCTGGTGGAGCTCACGGTTGCACCTCCAAAACCAGCTCTTTAGGTGTTTCCTTGCTGGCAGTGATGTTCTTATTTTGGTCCTAGTGGAACCACTTTGAAATGAACTAACTTGAGCCACAAGCCGCCTTCTCCATCACCAGCGAGGACAGGCTCAACTCACCCTGAGATGTCGCAGTGCCACGCATGCGGCTTGCTGCAGTTGTGCGTCGTCCTCCGTCAGGGCGTTGGTGTAGTAGAGCAAAGCCTGGAAAGAAGGTCGCTGTGAGGGGCCCTCGGCTCATCCTCCAAGTGCTGACCATAAATCAAGCCCTTCTTGCCTGTTTCTAAACAAAATTGGGCTGTGATCTATTAATCTCTGGGCCAGGTGCACACAGTCTCTAGGTGCATATACTACAGTATTCAGTGTATCTCTAAGAACCGTGGTCCCAGGGCTGACGGAAATCAAACGAAGAAAGCTCTTGTTGTCTATAATGTTTACCAAATGCATTCTAGAACTGCCATCTACATAAAATGCTAAATTAGAGAAATCAGATGTCCAGCCAGGGACAACAGAAGAACTGGACAGACAGAGGAGCCATCCTGGAGGCCGAGAACCCCCTCGGGCCAGGACAGCTGCCCTCCTCTCCCCGCCCTTTTCTGTTGCAGCTCTGAGCCCGCCCCCGACAGTCATGTGACCATGGCCGAATCACGACAGCCAAAGAAGGCTGGCACTTGCCTCACAGAATTGTTGTCTAGATGAGTTAGGAAGCACATGGGGATGTAGCCCACTATAGTAAGGCCCCAGTATTGCCCTTCTCCTCCCACCTTGGGGGCCGGTACTGCAAATCTATAATAGTCACAGGTCCCAGAACCTAAAAGGCAGAGGCTCCCATCTCTTGGTTTTCAAATGGACCAAACACAGTGAAGCAGCCAGCCACACGTACTAATTGAAAGTAAATGAAGATGACCTTTAGAATCCTGAGACAGGAACATTCTACACGCAGGTCACATCTCTGAGACCGAATAGAGGTGTTGCTTTAGAAACACAGATGAGCCGGGTGGTAAGCTTGTGGTGTGTGGTTATGTGGTTCCCCAGGTGTTGGCCAGGCAACCCCAGCCCACAGATCCCCCCCAGGGCTGGCGTCACCGATGGCGACGGCATGGAGGGCCGTGGTCACGTTTGGAGCACCCCTAGATCAAAATGTCCTGCAGTGAACGCAGCCCCTAGTCACTGAGTCCTTTGTATTGTTCAAGAGAGAAAGCCTCCCTCCCCCACCCGCCCCCACACCTGCACCAGGGGGCTGCCACCACCCCTCCTCCCCCGTACCTTTTCCCGAAAGCTCTTGTTCTTGGCTGCGCTGGCCAGGCGAGCACTGGCCACCCTGCACACCCGCGGGGGCCCGTGCAGCTGGAGCAGCGCCCAGGCCCTTAACGTCTGTGGCAGGGGCTGGAGCTGGTCCAGCCGCTTCCCCTGCAGCTTCCGGGCTGTCTTGACCTGCCCTGTGCTCTGCAGCTCCTCAGCGAGTGTTACTGGAAGAGACGGAAGAAGTGGGCCCGGGCTCCCCTCCGGCGGGTTGGGCTGGGCAGTGGCAGGTCTGCTTGGCCACTGCAGCTGCCGTGCAGAAGCAAATCCTGGGGCACACCCAGGTGATCACGAGGCCCCATCTGGATGGTTTCACAGGGCCCTCCTGGAATCTCTAGGAAGGCTTTCCAGCAAGGGATCAAATACACCCTGGAAATTAGTAACCCCCAGCTCATAGTTCAGGGCCTCCGGCCAGCCGAGCATCCCCCCATATCCAGCTCGACCTCTGCTCCTGGCTCTGTGGAGCCTTCCCGTGGAGCTAATTTGACTACGTGGGCTGCGCGTGGAATCAGGTTAAATCTGGGCTCTCAAAAGAACAGCTAGAGGAGAAAGACAGTGGTTCTGCTCGAGGGCCCCCCGTGTTGTCACTGTGTTGCTCTGAGGTCTCCTGCCGCCCGCCCCGGCCCTACCTTCCTTGGTGAGCTGGGTGAAGTGCTTCTCCAGGTCGGAGACACTCTGCCTCTGCAGGTAGCTGTGGAACTGGAACCAGGTGACCGTCTGTTCTTCGGGGGGCCGGGCTCCGCGGAGCAGCCCGCCGCAGCTGACCACCTGCTCCAGGAGCCTGCGGCACGCTGGCGGGACACGAGAGGGCCGTGAGGAGCCGAGACCGCACCCCCTCGGGGCTCCTCAGCCGGCGGGGCCGCGCCAGTTTAAAGGCCTTCTCATCACACGAGAGTGGGGGTCCCTCGCTGTGAGAAGGAGCCTGCTCCAGCTGGCGGCCACAGACCCCGAGTCAGGCGGTCTTGGGGGTGCAGCCCTGTGCTCAGTGCCCCCACTACACCCGAATCTGAATCCTGGGCCCGGGGCCTGGGAATATGCAGGCCAACGAGGAGCACAGGCAGCGGTTAGGGCTGCGTAAGTTCCAGAGCCACTGCCCGGAGTACAAGTGTCACCCTCAGTTGTCAACAGAGAAAAATGCTCCGCATTCTGAGGAAGAGTCCAGCCAACGTTTCAAGACACCTTATTGGGCAGATAAGCCCTGCCTACCTTCCAATCGAGGTTTTTTCTTAACCCCTGGAAGGTTCTCGTGGAAGCTATGGACTATGTCCCCAGAAAAATGCATGACCCCACTACTGTTTGCAGCTTCAGGGTTTCACAGACCCTCCTTCCTCTCCCCAGGAAAAGGAGGTGACTTGTGCTCAAGCTGAGAAACGTCCTCCATTTGGCCGTGAAGACACTGGTGGAGGTGAAGACAGGGCCACCGCAAGGCCCACGGTGACAGCACTGAAGGCCCTGAGACTGCACAGCATTCCTGTGGGGAGGGCAGGTACCTATTTCCAGCTGTCCCGGGTACTTCCCTCTGACTTGGTGCAGGAACGTTCTCTTGAGCTGGCATAGCAGCGCCGTGGCGGGGCAGGACAGGACCCCGCCGGGCTCCGTGCACGCTCGCCACAGCCTCAGACACCCCTTCCTCCGGGCGGCCTGTGGGAGAACTGAAAGCCCAGGCTCAGAAATCTGAAGGGCTGAGCGAGCGCCGGGGAGGCCCAAGAGGCAGGGAGGGGAAGGATGGCAGGGCTGAATGCAGCGTCCCTTTCCCACATTCCAATGTGACACAGAGGACAGACGGCTGACCTGGGCACCACCCACAGTTCTCACAACAACCCTGGGATGGCTCCTGTCACCAACGTCTCCTTAGGGACAAGGGGAGGTCCCATGGGGGCAGAGGCAGAACTGAGGCCACTGTTTATTTGAGTGTATACTGTGTGCCTGGACTGTGTCCTGGGGACTGCTTCACTGAACTCTCCCCAGTGGCCTCCCCATTATACAGATGGGGAGGCCAAGGCTCAAAGAGGTGAATCATTTGCCCATAGTCACACAGCTGACCGAAGAGCGTGTGCTGCTTACTCCAAGGCTGTGCAGCCTCCCTCCCCGCCCCCGCTGTGTGTGTCTCCGAGCCCAGCCCAGCCACTGTCCCCAGCCGCACCCCCTGGGCTCTGGTTAGCTTCGGACGTCGGGAAGGGACGAGGGGTTCCCCTGGACTTCAGGCCATTCACACAAGCAGCCTGGGGGTGGTGGGCAGTCACTTACTCTCTTCAATGGAGGTCGCCTTGCTGACCTTCTCAAAATCAAGCACAGAGAGCGTCTCCAGGACCTGCTTTTGCTGCACAGCTTCTTCCAGAAGGTGTTCCTGGACCATCCTCGACAAATTAGGAGAGGCCAGTTTCTGGGAAGCAGCCCATGATGCTCCAGGTTAGCACAGAACATGCCCTCCGACGTCAGCCACCATGCCCATGGCCCCCACCTGCCCTGTGCCCATCCTTCTGTCCCTGATGGCCATCTGGGGATCCCCCTTCACCGAAGTGGCTGAGAGAATAGGATACAGGCTGAAGCTGCCCGGGGCTGCCTTTGCCACCAGAAGGGGCCAGTCTGCCTGAAAGTGTAACCAACGCACACAGAAAATCAGAGCTGAGGGAGGGAGAGCTGCAGTCATGATGACATTTGAAACCCTGGATCCACCTGGGCCTGCAGCCCACCTCTGGGCTTTTCAATTCTGTGAGCCAATAAATTTTCCTTTTGGTTGAGCCAGTTTGGATTGGAGTGCTGGCATCTACAGCTGAAAGAGTCACAGCCACCGCCTTTGATTTAGGGCCTGGGCTGCGTAAGAGCCACATGACTATCCACCCAGGCCTGGCCTGAACCTTCCACAGAGGAACCTCCTCACTCTCATTGGCTCTCAGGGCGTGGGTCTCTCGCTCCTGCACCATGCTCCCCACCACCTTCTAGATCAGCCTTTTGCAGAGAGGACTCCCAGCCCCGGCCCCTGGGCAAGCCCTCCCCACTAGGCCCCGTCCCTCAGCACCTCCAGCAGAGCTTGGCAGACTTGGAGGTGGACCGAGAGCAGCATGTCCAGCTCCGGGGCGCCGGCCGTGAGCTCCTCGGACGAAGCTTTCAGTGATGGCGGTGGGGGTGGCGTCCTGTCCTTTCTGAGTTGAATTGAGAGGAACGGGGTGACCGTTCCGGTTAGCGATTCTGCTCCCTCCGAGAGTGGAGGACACCCTCCCTCCCCGGAGAGCTGATCAGGGAGGCCAACTCTGGGTCCAGGGCGATGGAGTGCGACTGAGGAGGAAACTAAGAGGAAACTAAGAGCAGCAGGAGGTGGCGGCAACTCAAGTCGGGTGCGGATGGTGTGGCCCCGGGCCCCCACCCAGGCTGTGCAACCTGAGGCCGAAGCCTGCCCTCCAAACTAACGCCCTGCTCTGTGACGCCGGGCACGTCCGCCTCCACCAGCCTCGGTTTACTGGTCTGTCGAGTGGGGACAGGAGTCCCAGGCTCAGGGCAGTGAGGGGTCAGGGAAACGCTGCCCACAGGTGTGCCCCTCACAGCGTCCGCTCCGGGTGGAGGCTGCACCCTTTGCCTGAGGGAGGACGGGAGTGACACGGGGACACTGAGTGGGAATGCCGTGCCCTCCCCGTGGGGTTGCGAGAAGAGGAGAAGTGTAGACTGCTGCTGCGCCCCTGTGCTGCTGAGGTTGGGTGCAGGAGAAGCGCCCAGGCCCACGTGAGGGGGCAGTGGGGGAAGGAGGGTGGAGGGTGGCGGGGGATGGTTGTGCGGAGGGACGGGGGCACAGGTCACTGCTGCGCGTCGGTTCGGGGGGAGGTCAGAGGTTCTACTGTGCGCTGGATGGTTGTTTTTTAAGATAAAAAAAAAAAAGCCCGTTGCTCGCAGCAGAAGGCTCAGGGCCGTGCTGAGGTGCTCTCATCCCACAGTGGTCACCAGGGGCCTGCTCTGTGCCAGGCCGTGGACACGTGGGGACGGGGTGGGGGCACAGTAAGCAATCAAAATAGATACAAATCGGGCCTGGCAATGGAGCTGGAGGCCAGCAGGCCAACAGGAAGCATAGCGCTCAGGCTGGCCACCCGGGGCAGCGCTGGGCAGGGTGCACTCACCCCAACAGGGACAGCTCATGCGGGGCGAGGTCGGCGTTGAGGAAGGCGAAGCTCTCCAGGATGCACTCCATCAGGCTCTCGGCGGAGGCGTGGTCCTGGCGCGCTCCCCGGGGCTGCGGACCGAGCGGGGACACCTGAGGGCCGTGCCAGCCCCCTACCCAGCCCGGCACACGGATCTGACCTGCGTCCCAGCCACGGGCACCATCCCTCAGCAGGGTCCCAGTGCCCCCAAGTCAGGGACGGGCACTCCCGAGGTCCCTCCTGAATGGCCTGTGACAGGTGTGACACCAAAGGTTGAGGGAGACATCTGAAAAGCCTCACCCTTGTGTTTGTGACCCTTTGGTCACAAACACCCACAGGGACAGGACCAGTGACAGGAGTGAGTGGTCCGGGGGGACCGTGGAAAGAGAGCGGGACCCTCCCCCAAGAGGCCTGCTGCTGCTCTGCGCCAGCTGCCACCCACCACTGGGAACGGGGGGGGGCCGGTGTTGCCAGCTCGTTCAATTTTCTGAGAAAAGCCGGAAACCTAGATTTTTGTGGGAGGCCATCCAGTTTATAAATATTGACAACTAATTCCAAATTATTTTTAAAATAATGTGTGGGTCAGGCCAGACACCTCTTGAGGAGGCTCAGAGGCGGCCGGGGGAGCCCCTGGACTCCGGCGTCTCTGCGCTCAGGAAGTGTGGAAGGAGAGGGGATCGGAGGCGGCCCCTGACTGGGAGGGGAGGCCTTGGAGCCACGGTTCCTGCCATTGGTCCTCAGCCTCCCGACAGCAGGTCCCGTCCTCGGCTTCTAGAAGGCCACTAATGGGGATCCCGGTCTTGTCCCGATACGTGGCAGGCCTCGGGGGCTGGCTCCCGCCCCGTGCCCAACTCAGCCAGGCCTCGTCCCAACAAAGTGCGCTGACACAGCCCGAGCCACGCGGCCCAGCGAGTCGGAGCCGCCATCCTGAGAGTGGGGCCCACAGAGGCGACCTCGAGCACCCAGAGAAGGCCCGTGGCAGAGCTTTCCCATCCTGGGGGATAGTGCATGTGTGTGTGTGTGCACATGTAGCTGGTTCTCGTTATTCTCGGTAGTCCCGGTCTAGAAGTCACCAAGGATCCTGAGCCATTGCTCCTGGGGACCGCAGGGGCTGCGAGCCACAACATTTTCACAGCCGATCGACACAGAACCTCATGTTATGTGGGTTTCTGTTTAAAGACACCTTATTTCATATATACTGTTGATCCGCTAACATTGAACTCACGGCCAACAGCACTACAACTGAACAAAGCTGATCTAACACTCGTGTCTTCCCCCTGGGGCACATCGCGGCCTTCCTGCGCTGAGCGACACGAGACAGCACTTCAGCTCTGCACTTGGGGGCCATTTTACACAGCGAAATCGCCAAAAATAAGTACAAAAATGTGAAAGCCACAGCACTAAACAGACCGTGGAAAGGACGCTTGCATACTGTGGGAGGCTCAAACGGGAAGGCAGAGCGTCCCCTCGTCCAGCCTCCACTGGAACACGCATCGGGTGACTCAGATCCTTCCCCTCTGCACGTGCCGAGGGCTGACTGTGAAAGCATCATGGGTATTGATTTTGGGGTTACAAGTAAATTTTAGCAAGTAGGTGAATTCACAAAAACAGAATCCATGAATAACGAGAATCAGCTGTATAAATATATACGCACGTATATATTTATACTCATATAAGTGTGTGTATAATTTCTCTTTAAAAAGTCAAACTAAAAACCATAGCCTATAATCATTTTTATTGTTCTAACTTGGTTTGCCAAAAAAAAGAAAAGTTCCTCAAAGACATTTAAAATTACTGCCTTATTCCAGTCTTATTTTAAGATTTTTATGTAAAGTAGGTATAATTTTTCAAATTACAAGTATGTGACAGAAGCTGCCTGCAGGGTGACTCAAAGTGTTCTACAAGATAAAAATGCTGTTGAGAGATACAAAAAAGGTGACATTATTTCTTAAATTTTTTTCTTCAAATTTTCAGGCAGGGGTCTTTTTAAAGACCATAGCAGGGGTAAACAGTGAATATATTTTTAAAGTTACTGGACATGAAATGAAAAATTCAACTTCCTTTCACTGGTGCTGTTTGCAGTGTTGAGGGTAGGGGGAGAGAGAAACCAACCAGAACTGATTTTTGAAGAAAGCCGTGAAACTACGTCTGTGCCAGTTTGTGTCCTACACGAGACAGTGGTTTCATACATTAATTGATGTATAAGTAGGTGCTGGAGTTGAACGTTTTATTTTACCTATATTTAAATTTATGTAAACCAAAATAGAATAATCTGCCCGGGCCAGCACCTCTGAGAGCCACCCGAGAACAGGCATGGGCCCTGTTGAGAAGCTTCTGTGTGGGGCGTGTGGCAGTTTGGGGCTGTCCACGGTGCCGGCTCTGACCCTCAGAACACCCCAAGTGGGGGCCGCCCCGTGGCTTATCGGTTAAGTGCACGTGCTCTGCTGCTGGCGGCCCGGGTTCGGATCCCGGGCGCGCACCGACGCACCGCTTCTCTGGCCATGCTGAGGCTGCGTTCCACATACAGCAACTAGAAGGATGTGCATCTATGACATACAACTATTTACTGGGGCTTTGGGGAAAAAAAGGGGAAAAAAAAAGGAGGAGGATTGGCAATAGATGTTAGCTCAGGGCTGATCTTCCTCACAAAAAAAAAGAACACCCCAAGTTTGGGATTTTAATGCCAAGCCACAGCCCCACCCAACCGGGTCAGAAGATGCGAGATGGGGCTGGGTTCTGGCTGGATCCACTCTGAGCCCTAACTTCCTCTTACAGTCCTCCTCCCAGGCCAATAAGGCTGTTGTCCCCCCTTGACAGAGGAGCAAACTGAGGCCCAGAGAGGAGACATCGCCCACCCGGGTCACCCGGGGTGAGGCCAGGATGCCAGCCCGGGCTGGCTGCCCCCGGAGCCCACTCCCAGTCGTTACACCATCGGCGAAGCAGGGTGCCGCCCGGCAGAGGGGACGTACCTTCAGCCGCTCCCTGAAGCCGAGGACCTGGTACTCCAGCTCCCGGAGCCGGGGCTGGGCCGAGTCCATGGACCTCAGCAAGTCCAGGACCTCCTGCAGGGGCCTCTCGAGGGTCGCCCCAGGCCCATCCACTCCGTCCCTGGTCTCTCCTTCATCCCGGCCTTCCTGGCCACCCGGGATCCTGTGGCTGTGGAATGGGGAGCCCCGTGGCAGGATGGGGCTCTCAACTCCCAGATTCCTCCAGCCAGGCTGCTCCACCAACGAGCCTCCCGCCAGGTGGGCCATCTCCGGCAGGAGGCCCAGGGGTGGGGGGTCCTCCTGGGCCTCCTCTTCAATGGAGGCGTCGGGGCCAGCGGCCACGGACAGGAACCCCACGTCCGAGGTGGATGCCGACGTGCTGGTCTCGGCGTCCCGGGGGTCCTCAGAGCTGAAGGAGTCCATCTCGGGCAGCTCCTGACTCCGGCTCCGCAGGCCGGAGCCCTGCAGGCCGCTGTCCGACAGGCAGCTCAGGACGGAGGGGGCCCTTGGCCTGCCCGCCAGCAAGGCCCGCTGCGCTGGCTGCTGCAGGACGGACTGGAGAGAGGGACACAGGACCAGCCTCACCAGCCACCCAGGGACACCAGGGGGGCTGCCCCGCCGACACTTGCTCTGCGTGCCCACATTCTCGAGATGACTGAGGCCCGCCAAGGTGACCGGCCGCCCGGAGGTGCTGACAGGACCCTGAACCTCTGCCCTGTCCCCCGTCACCCCTCTAACTCACTCCTTTGCAGCCCCAGTGGCCTCCGTGCTGTGCCTCACCCCCTCCCTCACACATTCCCACCTCAGGGCCTTTGCGCTGTGTTCTCTGAATGTCACTGAATGGTGACGTGCTTCCCCATGTCTTTGTGGCTTGTGCCCTTGCCCCCTCAGGCCCTTACGCAGATGTCACCTTTCCTGGGTACCTTTCCCTGGACACCCTGTCTTAAATAGTGGCTCCTACCTTGCCCCGGCAGTCCCCTCCCCTTCCTGCTTGATTTTCCCATGGCCCTTGCATCCTCAGCCGGCTAGAGCCTGGCACTTGGATTTGAATGAGTGAAGTGAATGAATGATTGAGGGGCCTGACATACAGCACGTAAGGAGTGTTCATCATTGTGACAGCAACAGCTGTCTCTAAGCGTTTGGTGTCACCTGCCCTGTCCTGAGGGCCTTCGGCTCACACCTCACTCCCCCTCACACCTCCAGGAGGCTGCACTGCTCTGACCTCGCAGGGGCTGGGCCCCACCTCTTCCTCGGGCCACAGGGTAGGAGCAGAGGGCGAGAGTTTGATCCAGGTGTGCTCACACCAACCCTTGCCCTCTGCTTCCAACCAGGCCCATCCTAACGGCCGATGTTCCTGCTGCCCCGTCTCTCGCCAGGCGTTCTCTTAAGCACTTCTCATTATTAATCCCTTTACCCCTCACAAAACCCCGTCAGGGTGGTGCTGTTATTCTCATTTCTCTGATACAGAAATTGAAGTCCAGAGAGGTTGAGTGACTTGCCCGAGGTCACACAGCAGGCGAGAAGCACAGACAGAATTTGGACCTAGGCTGTCTGGCTCCAGAGCCCAGGCTCTTGACCACAGATGAGGTTTTAACTGAAGGACACTGGGCCCCACCAGGGCCGGACAAAGTTTCCTCTAAACGCACAAGTTGCTGGGCTCCTATAAAGCCGCCCTCCCCACCTAAGGTCCAGGGGGCAACAGGGGGTTTGTCCAGCTCAGCGTCGCCCCCACCCTGCCCATCTCTGTTCCTGGACTCTCACTGGGGCAGCGCCTGTGGGGAGATACTCGCCTGTGGGTAGAACGGCCTGTGTACAAGGTTATTGACTGCCTGTCGCTGGTGATACCAAAAAACGGAAACAGCGTCAGTGTCTTGTTAATGACACAGCCACATGTGGAGATGGCGTCAAGAAAGACTGAGGGGGCCCTGGGGCGGGCGGGATCAGTCTCCTGTGCCTCATGACGTGAAAAAGGCTGCTCTGGAATAAGACAGAGTGGAAGATGCCTCTGCTCCCAGGAGGCAGGAGCACATCAGGAGAAGCTGACCCAGTAGCTGGCGCTCCGGAGGGGACCCAGATTCCCGGAGGCCACAGGCAAGAGGTACTGTACGTGTTGTCAAAGTATACCTTCTAGAAACACGTATTAAATTTAAGTTTAAAACAAATGACTTGGAGGCCAGGGCCATGGCTGAGGTGGTGGAACCATCCAGAGAGCCCCATTCCAGGCATCCAGGAGAAGCAGCCAAGCCCAAAACCGGGTCCAGGCCTCCAGAAGGGAGGGGCCCGCAGCAAGGAGGAAAACACCAGGATAACCCCAAAACAAGGGCGGTGAGCCCACAGCTGGCTACATCGGAGGCGGTAGGCTGCTAGCCCAGCCCCACGTGCCGCCTGGGGAGTCGCCCCATCCCAGCCCAGCCCTCAAGGCCCACTCACCAGGTAGTACCTCTCCCGGAAGCTGGGGGTGCTTGGGGGCGTCCAGTTGTACAAGGAGCCCTTCCGGCTGCCCAGCGAGAACTTGCCCGTGGGGCTGGGTGACACCAGGAAGCTCTCAGTATCGAACGGGCTGGAGAAGAGAACAGGTATCATGGATCCTGGGAGGACATTGGAGCAGACGGGACCCAGGGGACGTAAGAGGAAAGGGGGGCTGGGGGAGGGCAGGCCTTGCCCAGGGTCAGAGACACCACCTAGGAACTCTAGGTCCACGCTCTCGACCCTCTTGGAAATGCCTCTCAGACGCCCACCGCCCTGAGGGCCCTCAGCCAGACGGCGAGGGGCAGTGATGGGGCCACCACACGTGTGAATGACACCCCCCCTTTAGAGGCTCCCTCGAGAAGCTCAGTGGTGGACACTCGCTTGTGCCGTTTTCTGGGTAAATCATGTCACCATCCCTCTCGGATTCCCCATCTGAAAAGGGGCGCCATTATAGAGGGATCCGTGTCAGCCCCTGTCACAGGTCGGGCTGGGATCCAAGGTGCCAAGGGATGCCCAGCCTGGCCCCCGCCGACCCCGCCTGTGGAGCAGGTGGGTCTGGGTAAACCCTCCTGCCTTATGGAGACCAGCTCGCTCTCATCTGCACAAAGGCCTGGCTCCCAGCGTCGGGGGCCGGCTGACCCCGAGGGCCTGCAGCTCAAAGGCTGCCCCTCCGGGAAGTCCTCCCTGCCTGCCCAGGGCGGCCACGGGCCAGCAGGATGGCTGGTCCTGGACTCGCCTGGCCTGAGGTTGGATGGCACTGGGCTGCCCTCGGCCCTGTGCACTTGAGGGGGCTCCCAGGGGAGAGTGTGATCAGCCCCACTGACAAATGGGGATACCGAGGCTGGGGGTGGTCACTCACTTGAATTCACCAGCTCCGGGGGGACAGCAGCAGGTCTCGGGACCCCAGGCTCGGAGCCCACCCCACAGGGAAAGGAGAGATGGGCCCCAACTGGTCAGAACAAGCTCCAGAACAGAGGAGGCACGTCTCGGCCCCTTTGCTCCCGCCACGCCCACCCCGGGGAATAAGGAGAAGGGGAGCCCCTTGAAACACAGGATTTCATTCGGGAAAAAGGGCTTTGCTGAAAACCAAACCTTTGGAAACTACCAGCGTTCACGAAAATGCTCAATGCAGCGCCCCGACCCGGGCAGGGGTGTTCTCATGCGTGTCCACCATCTGTGGGGTCTGTGGCCCAGAGGGGACTCAAGGTGACCGCTCAGCCCTGAGCCCGATGGCAGCAGGGGTCAGCGAGGCATGAGGTGGTGGGCGCAGTAAGGAGGGCCATCCCGGGCAGAGGCGGGCTCCTCCGAGAACCCAGACCAGGAGGCCGCGGGAAAGGGTCCTGGGAGCCCGGGGCTTTAATACCCACTCGTTCCAAAGTGAGAAGGGAGTTAAAACTCGGAGGGGCGGGGGTGGGTGGGGGGCAGGGCCTGCAGAGACGGTCTGGGCCCCAGCCTGTCCGTGGGGCAGGATGAGGGCGGGCATGTCCCTGCGTGGATACTGGGGCGAGCTCAGGCCACCAGGGGGAGCTGGCGAGGCCCCGGTCTCTCCTCTGGGTGGGAGTTGGGGGCTGGCCTGGGGCTGGGGGGCGGCAGGGTGGACGAGGAGGCTGGCCCCCACTCACTTCCACAGCACCTCCAGCTGCAGCTTGATGGTGCCCAGCTCCGTGATGTCCACCACGATGACCTGCGGCCGCGTCGTGAAGAAGTCCGTGATGTCGCAGGTCACTGCGCCCACCGCCAGCGAGCTCAGGCCCCGCAGCTCTGTCACCTGCGGGGGGAGTTGTGGGTGGTGTCCGAGCCGAGCCTCTGGGCGCCGGGCCCCGCCCCCAGGCCCCGCCCACCTTGATCTCGAAGTTCTCGTGCAGGGTGGGGATGAAGGCCTTCTCCTCCTCGTCCCAGGTCTGGCTGTCGTCCGACTCGATCCGGCCCTTCAGCTTCCAGCGCTGGCGGCCCAGGCGCATGAGCACCTGTGGGCAAGGGCCAAGGAGGGACGGGTCAGCCCCGGGTGGGCGCGCCCCTGCCAGCTGGGCGCGGATGGGGACAGAAACCCAGCCGGGACCCTGGTTCCCAGCAGCTCCCAACCCCCAAAGCCTGGCGGGGAGCCCTGAGGACGGACCCCGCAGGGTGGCCATACCTCGTACTGGTCTCCAGGACAGAGGCGTGCGTAGCCCACCAGACCTGGAACAAGAGACGGCTCATTTCCCCGCCCTCCTCTGTCCCGGCCCCGTGCATCGCGGGCCCTCACTGGGGGTGAAGTATCAGTTTCAGGGAGGGGTAAGCCATCATGACGGACACTGGACAGGTCTGGGCCCTCACATCCAAGTCAGGGGACAGGACTTGCCTGAGGTCACTTGTCACACGAGTGGAAACCCAGGGCCCGGCCTGGACCCCTGGGATTCTGACCAAGCCGCCCCCCCAGCAGAAGTCCAGAGCCCTCCAAGAAGGCCTGACGCCCCACCCAAGCTGGCCTCTGCCCGCCCACGCAGCCCCGTTACCTTTCATCCTGACGTGGAACTCGCCCAGGTGAACCTCCAGGGCCCCCTCGATGAGCCACATGTCCTGCAAAGCCCCACACAAGGTCGCTCACGCCCGCCCCCGGGCTAGGCCGCGGCGGGCACGCATGGACCCTGCGGGACACAGGCCCGCGGGCAGAGAGACGCTTCCTCCGGCCGGGGAGCCCCCAGGCCGGGCCCAGCCCGCCGGCCTCCCGCCCCGGCCCACCTCGGTGCACTCCTGCAGGCTGCGGCCCAGCTCCTGCAGGCTCTCCCGGGAGGCGCGGCTGGGCGGGCACCGCGAGAAGGCCCGCTGCATGTTGGAGGCGCCGTCGCGCAGGCGGCACTGGATGCAGTAGCCCTCGTAGAGCTCGTCCACCTGCGGGGCACAGGCGGGTGGGCGCTGCCCGGGCCGGGGGCGGGCCCCAGGGCCGCCCGCCTCCGTCGCCCTCTGGGAGAGGCCCCGAGCTGACGTCCCCACCCCAGCCCCCGACGGCGGCCACGCCCTGCACTGTTCCGCCGCCCCACAGAATGGGAGCCCAGGGGGGCAGGGACCGCGTCTGCCTTGTCCCCTCCGCATCCCCAGCGCCTGGCAGCGGCTGGCACGCAGTTGGTGCACAATAAAAACTAGTGAACTGGACGGTGAATGCATCCCTTCCCCCGCCCTGCCCCGTTTCTCGACTGTGAAACAGGGGAGGTGGGTTTGTGATATCTGCCCAGCCCCTGGGGAGGAGTAAAGCCGGATCATGGAGGACTCTGCGGGCTTTAAAGCTTAAAGGACTCGCTATGTGACCTTGGGCCAATCCTTGTCCCTCTCTGGGCCTCCACTCTCCTGTCTCTACGATGGGGGCCCTGGACTCAACCTTCCCAGTCCTCTAAGATTGAGCCTGAGGTTTTCTATCTAAACTCCACAGTCCTGGGGGCGCCCCAGCCACCCCCCTCACCCCCATCTCAGGGTTCAGCCCTGCAGTCTCTGCTCCTCCTCGGCTTTCTCCAGCCACCCAGCACCCAGAAGCCTGGGCACTAACCCGGCGGAGGCCCGGCCCCACCCTGTGACGCCCCAGGAGCCGGGCTGACCTTGCTGATGTGGAACTCCATCTTCCGAATGTGCCTCTCCACGGAGCGCGTTTGCTTCTCCCGGAAAAAGAGAAGATGCTGTGAAAGGAGCCTGGGCCGCCTGCAGCCCCCCAGCCCCCACCACCCTCCTACAGGTCCTAACACAGAGAACTGGGCTCCAAGCCAGGCCAGCCCCTCACCATCCTGGAGGAAGGCTCATTGCTGAGCCTCAGTTTAGTAAACCCCAGTATTCCTCTTTTAGGACGGCCGGAGGGTGGAATGCGAGCGAAGATGTTACATTCATCAGCCAGGCACAGCCTCAGCCCTCCTGACTTCCCACGTGCAGACAGGGAGGCTTCACTCACCTTGTCCAGGTCGTAATAGAAGGCCTGTGGGGGAGGAAAAGAGGGAAGAGAGGTATCAGGGTTCTGGATGCTCCTCCAAGACCCATGAGGCCATATCCCAGGAGCGCCTGAGCCTAGAGGACAAAGAAGCCCGCAGCCTCTCCATCCTCTGAGGCCTGCAGTCAGCCGGCCGTGGTCCAGGCCACAGAGGAGGGGTGAGTAAACACACACACTCTGGGGAGGCAGTTCTAGGCCTGGCCCTATTTCTCAGCTGTGTGTCCCAGGCAAGTTACTCAACCTCTCTGAGCCTCTGTCTCCTCATGTAAATGGGGCAGCCATAGCATCTACCCCACAGGGTTGCTATGAAGAATGAAGGACACAGGAAGCACTCAACAAAATGGGGACCATTGTGCTTTGATTGTTTAAGGGGTGACTTCAGCCATGAGCAGAAGAATGGAGAGTGGGGAAAGGCATCGGGCACCACCCATGAGTTCAGGCCTTAGGAAATGGCAATCCAGACTGGTCCATCCACACCAGGGGCCAGGGTGCGGCCAATGAAAAGAATATACTGTTGGTGTGAGCAAATCTTTGTGTAAAGGGCCAGAGAGTAAATACTGTAGGGTCTGCGGGCCATGTGGTCTCTGCCATTGCAGCATGAAAGCAACCACAGAGAGCACGCACATGATGGGTGCGGCCGTGTGCGGTCAACTTTATTTCTAAAACAGGCCCTAGTTTGCCCACGTCGATTAGAATCACCGTGTCTGAGCCCGGAGGAATTTCCACAAGGTTGAAAGATGCTCTAGGGAGAAACAGCAAGATGTGGTCGAGGATGTAAGTGAGATTTCATTTTTATGAGACAACTATGGACCAAAACCCTCTGTATGCATTTGTACGTATGATTACGTGACCAGGGAGAAAATAGGGAAAGAGAAATCCTAGATTGTGTCCTCAGGGTTCAACAGAGAAGACAGGGGGCCTCCAGCAGAAAGGAAAGATGGATTAAACCCCGGAAAGTCTGTGTTTTCCCGTGTATGCGTTTATGTGAAGTTGTGCGCGTGGGATTCTGAAATGAAAATTCCATGTAAGAAATAAAGAAATAGCACAGTTCCCAAGCCTTTCGAAAGAAAAGTGGCTGTACAACAGCTTCTCGGAAACCGAGAACCAGCCGCGTCCAGGGAGGCGGGACCCCACGTCCATCATCCCGCTGCGCGGCCCCAGTGCAGTCGCCACCCCTTCCCCGGCCTCAGTGTGCCCATCTGTGAAATGGGAGCTGCTGAAACATACAAACCCTTCTACACTTGCCTACCTTAGAGTTACTTCTAGAACCAAGAGAGAGAGGCTGGGGGCCTTGAGAACAGCTGCCCCTGCCTGAGGGCTGGGCCAGTGCTGGGCAGGGCTGGGAACAGGGAGCAGGATCTTGGCCCCATCTGTGCTGACCATCCGCCCACCAAGGGCAAGGCGTGGCCAGGCGTGGCTGAGCCCACCTGGCCTGTCATTCCCCACGTGGGCGGGCACACCCGTGAGGCTGGAGGCCCTGCCTCCACCCCACCGACCCGAGGTCTTCCCCACTGAAGCCAGGACACAGAGGCGGCCGGATGCTATTTTGATAGAAAGATTCGTTCCCCTTTTCGGCTTTGCAGTCCCTCCATCAAGCTGGTGGCTGCTTCATGCTTTGATGCTTTGGGGGAGGGATGTGGAACAGGCAGCAAGGCCTCCTGGGTTTTGTTTCCAGAAGTCTAATCCCATTAAGGATGGCAGGGGCTTTCCCGAGGCAGCAGTGGGGTGGGGGGTACTTCCCAAGACTGGAAAGACAGAGCCTCCGCTGGAGGGACAGAGGTCCTGGCAGTGGGATCTGGGCAGTGTGAGCAGATACAATACAGGATCCCCAAGACAAGGACATTTCCAAGAAACAATGACTCATTTTTTTTTTAGTGTAAGTATGTCCCGAAGACTGCCCAGGACATGCTTATACTGAAAAATATTGTTGTTTATCCAAAAGTCAAATTTAACTGGGCATCCTATTTTTTTGTTTGTTTGCTTTTGGTCTTGGTTTTGGGGTCTCTTTTTTGCTAAATCTGGCTCTGCTAAGGGGGTAAGTCTTGGGCCAGACAGGCCCCAGGGCAACCTCAAAGACGCTGGCCTCAGAATGGCAGGAGAACCACAGGGGCGCTGGTTGTGGGGGGGCACTCGGGCTTGATCAAGGCCACATCAGGGGCCACGGTTGACACACCTAGATTCCAGCCTGGCCCAATTTCCCGGCATGGCAGGAGCCGCCCGGATTGCAGGGCACCCAGATGGCCAAGGCCTAGAAAATAGGGCGTCAAAACATACACACCTCCATACACCCGCCTGCCTTACAGTCACTTCTAGAACCAGAGAATGGAGCTGAGCCCTGAGACAGGGTGAGGGGGTGGGGAAGCTGCCCCCAGCCTGTGACGGGAACTCATCACAATATAAAGCAAGTCCTTCCTCGGGCCTCTGGGTTCCCAGACCGGGGTTCACACCCACGATGCAGGCAGGGTGGAGGGAGGGTCCACCCCGAACCCGGCCATGGCTGCTGGGTGGGGGGAGTCTCACCAGCCTGGAATTCCTGTGGGTGTCCTTGTGCCGTCCCGACAGGTACCCCAGCTCGGCCTGCTGGACGCACAGATGCTCCCTGTGAGGAGAACGAGGGAGGGGTTTGAAAAGGAACAAGACGACAAGAAACAGGCGGGTGACCAGGGCTCGGCGGGGGCAGCATGGAGGGCAGCGGTGGTCCTCAGCGGGCCCCGAGGTCAGAGGGGCAGAGCCATCCCCACCCGCCCGGCTCCAGACCCCGCAGGCTGAGGGCTGCGTGCCCGGCGCTGTGCGAAGTGGGGGATCCCGGTTAACTCCCCAAACAGTCCCACGGACAGGTTCTGCTGCTGTCCCACCCGTTTTAGAGAGGGGCAAACTGACCCTTGAGGACACCAAGTGACCCAGCGCAGGTAGGAGGAGGCTGAGCCCAGGTCTGAAAGCAGGCAGCGGCCTGCAGGGGCCGATGTCTCCACCGCAGCACAGGGGAGGTCAGCGAGGGCACGCCTCGCTGGTGGACAAGGACAGGCCGTCCTGCTGTCCAGGTGCCCGGGCCAAGGATTAGAGCGGGGCCTGGAGAACCCAGTCTGGGGAGTACAGAGATAGCCGTAGGCCGGGGTGGGGGACATTCCAAGGTGTGCTTTCCAGCCAGAGAGACTAGGACAGGAATCCCGAAGTCTGGACTTGGGGGCCGGAGTGGGGCCCCCATCCTGTTCCACCATAGATTTGCTGGGTCACCCCAGGAAGGTGACTTGCCCTCTCTGGGCCCACTTACACCACCTTCTGCCGGGCCACCGCTCGCTCAGGGGTCGGGTTCCTCAGGAAGAAGGGGGTGCTGTTGACCCCAGACAAGTCTCAAACGTACAGTCCTCCAGGGTCACCAGGAACTGTCCTGGGAGACGAGCACCTCCAGGCAGGCCTCCCTCCACCCTCTGGGCACAGCGCCAGCTCCCACTCTGCACCAGCGCGGGGCTGGGGCGTGCAGCGCACATCACAGGAGGAGGGTGAGGGAGGCGCCCTGGGCAGGGAGCCAGGCCCCCGGGGTGGGGGGACGTGACACTGACCCCGAGCCCCGGGGGACAGCGGGGCAGGCCAGCGTTGGCCCCGGAGCCCCACTCCCGGCTTCCCGGCCGTGGGCTCCCGGACAAGCTGCTTCCCACCTTTGGGACTCAGTTTCCTCGCCTGGACAAGGAGGCTGAGGTTCTCTCATAGCGTTCTTTAGGGGTTCAAGGACACGATGCAGGTAATGCCCCGAACAAGGCGTGGCTGCTGTTATTATTATTATTATTTTTAATTGGTGAGGCGAAGAGGTGGAGGGCTGGGCAGGGCATCCAGGAGGAAGGAACAGTGTTCAGTCCTGCAAATGCGCGTGCAGGACTAGAGACTCGGGGAGCCGCAGCCCCCCGTGCCTCTCCACCGCCCAGGGGCTGTTTCCCAAGAGCCAAGGCGCAGACTCACGAGGGAAGAGGGCACATTTGGGAATACGCTAAGGGTGGTGGGGACAGGAGTGAATAATGAAAGAAAAGTCTAGAAAGGTTGAAGGTCAGAAAGGACCTGAATGCCCTCCCGAGGGCAGTAGGGGCCACGGGAGAGACTGAGCAGAGGAGGGAGTGGCAGGTGGGGAGGGGCTGGGCGGGCTCGGGGCCACACGGCGAGGGCGGCGGGGCGGAGTCGGGGAAGGAGGCCGCCGCTTGATCCAGGGCGAGCGCGCAACAGGGCCCAGGCCACGCGACCCGCTCACGGGAGAACCCGCGCTGAAACCTCGCTGCTCCCGAGCCCGACTGTGCCCCAGCGGCCTCCTGTCGTCTCCTCTCGGGCGCGCTCTCCCCGTCTCCACCCCTCTCCCGTGCCCCTCTCCCATCCCTCAGGAAATCCTGTCCGCGCCTCCTCCAAAATGTGTCCCGGAACTGCCCCTGTTCCCCGCCCGCCAGCTTCACCTGGTGAGTCCACCGTCACCCTCCTCCTGACCACGACCCAACACCTTCCCACCACCCTCCCCACTCTGCCCCGCCCCTACAGGCCATTGTCCACAAACAGCCAGAGGCTCTTGTTAAAACCAAACTTGGATCTCGTCCTCACCCCTCTCAGAACCCTCCATGGCTCCCTGCTCACCCCGACTGAACACGAAGTCCTCACCACAGCCCACAAGGCCCCAGATCATCTGGTCCCCATCACCCCCAGGCCTCACCACCCTCTCCCTCCCTCAGCTCCCAGGCTGGCCTGCTCACGGTGCCCCTAATGTTCCAATCATGCTCCTGCCCCAGGGCCTTTGCACATGTGGCTTCATTGGCCTGGAATGTTCTTCCATTATCTGCAGGGCTCACGCCTTCACCCCTTCAGGTTTTTGCTCAAATGTCACCTTCTTAGTGAGAACTTCCTTGAACACTTTACAGTCGTGTGTCACTCGACGACGGGGACATGTTCTGAGAAATGTGTCGTTAGGCGATGTCATGTGAACATCACAGAGTGGACTTACACAATCTAGATGGTATAGCCTACGACACACCTAGGCCATAGGGTACTCATCTTATGGGACCACTGTCGTATATGTGGCCTGTTGACTGAAACGTCGTGATGCAGCACGACTGCAGTTAAAATCAACCCTGGGCCTTCTTACCCTGGTGTGTTTCCCTCCCTAGCACCTACACCAGCTGACACGCCCTATTTCTTACTTTTCTGCATTGTTACTGGCTGTCTGTCCCCCACTAGGATGTCAGCTCCACAGGGGCGGGGATTGTTGTGTTTCGTGCGCCTGGCACTTCACAAGCCCTCAATAAAGATACACGGAGGGAGTGACTGAATCTTCCTGGTCTGGCCTCTGTCCAGCTGGTCAGTCAGTCTCTTCTTCACTCAAATCCAGCCACCCTGATCTCCTGCTGGTGCGCACGCTCCCACCTCAGGGCCTTTGCACCTGCTGTTCCCTCTGCCTGGGATGCTTGTCCCCGAGAGGCCAGCATGATGCTCCTTCTCAGACCATTCAGGTCTCAGGAACCATCAGGACCCCCTCGGTGAGTCTCCCTGGGCCACCCTGTCTGACAGGCCTTCCACGCACGGTCTCTCCATCACTTCTCTCTTATTGCACTCAGGCTGGTGGAAGTTACGTTACTGATCACATTTGATTGCCATCTCCTCCTCTACACTCTAAGCTCCACGAGACCAGGGTCCTCCTGCCGTCTTCACTGTGTCCCCAGCAGCCAATAACAGGGTCGCGCATGTGGCTGCAACAGGACATGCTTGTTGACTAAATGAGTAACCAGGAGCTCCCTCTGCAGCCTCCAACAGATGAGACCCAACCACGCGCCCCAGGAAGAGGCAGAGAGGAGCAGGCGGCCAGGCCGGAGAATGCGCTTTTTGAAGGCAACAACACTCATCCTTACTTGAGGCCTCTCTTCAGCGCTTCGAAGATCTTCTTCACTTGTTGCGGCTTGGGGTCGGGGCCGACAGACCCCTTCCGCAGCGTGCCGTACATCTTGGAGGATTTCACAGGCATTCGAGATCTCACCGAGTTCCTGTGGATGGACTTCCTGTGAGAAGGGATGAGGGGGTCAGAGCAGGGGTCTCGAGCAAGCCTTTCCCAGGGGCCGGCTTTGGGAACAGTGGCCAGAGCCCCAGGCAGTCAGGAGACCTGGCTGAGTCCCACCCCATCCCCACCATGCTACATGGTCTTTGGAAAGTTGCCTAGACTCCCTGGGCCTCAGTTTCCTCATCTGTAAAATGAAGGCTTGGATTTGAGGATTAAAAGAATGACAATAACCTGATATGAAAATTAACTTACAGTGAGAAATACAATCAAGCAGCCCAAATGTCAATGCTCTCTGTTCAGCAAGCTCTGTCTGTGCAGGCAAAGCAACACGGGAGGCCAAATCGTAGTCCTGTGGTGTGCCCGTAGAGTGGGCATCTGTTGGCTCTGCCTACCCCACAGCCACCCCCCTCCCTCTGTTAATAGCACCTCATCTTCCTCTGGGGCACCTCCTCAACCCTGCTCTTTCTACATGTGGTTTGGAGGGAGGTAGCCTAACAAATCACCACACACACACATGCACACACACGTGCCCATGCACACACATACACAAGCATTCTGAGGCAAACCCATGTCCTAGGCCTGGGTGGGTCAACCTATTCCACTCCCCTGGCCCAGGGAGAGGCATGGGACACAAGGCTGGCCAGTAACCCTGCCAGGAGTTTGGTTCCAAATTCACAGGAGGGGGAAGGGTTCCTCCCACCAGCATTGCTCATCTGAAGGCTCATACACCTGGAGCTTCCAGCCGCCTCCTTTGCCACCATGTGGGGAGAATGGAGCCAACACAGAGAGGAGCAGACAGAGGCAGACCAAATTCATATGACAGTGAGTTCCTGGATCCAGCTATGCCTGAAGCTAGAGCTGTCCATGGACTTTCAGATACATGAGCCAGTTGGTTCTCTTTTTTGCTTAAGCCTATTGGAGTTGGGAGTGTGGACTGGATGATCCTGAGAACTAACGTCTCCCAGCAGTGACAGCTGTGTCTCTCAGCCCCGTAGGGATTTGTACGGGCATTTCGGGATTGGTTACAGTAGTGCGGGGTCAGGTGCCCTCATTACAGTCCAGAACTGGTCTCATTGGCATCTAAGCCCCTTCTAGAATCTTATGATCCTATGCCTTGTCCGCTAAGCTCGAGACCAGGGCTGGCTGACGCAGCCTGCACGCCCCACCAGATGTGTTTAAGTCCATCTTATCCCTCGACAGACACCGTTTCCCAGATGCCCCTGGACCACCTTCTCGCAAAAGAGACAAGGGAGGAAGTGACACATAAAACTAACTTCTGGGTCCGTTTCTTAAAGGGGAGCTGCTAGCCTTTCTCTCCATATCTCTCCTTCCCTCCCTGTCCTCCCCAGGTACACTGAGGAGCCAGCTTCACCTGTGTGCACCAGGGCCCCCACGCAATGGCTGAGCAACAACACAGAAAGACCGACCCTGGACAGCCTGTGGAGCAGACCACCCACTGGCTCTACTCTGTTACAGCAGAGAGGGAGGAATAACCGATCTCGTTTAAGCCCCTGTATTTTGGGGTGGGGGGGTTCTTTGTCAAAGCAACTTCACCTCTACACTAATACCTTACTCGAGCCTCAGTTTTTTCATCTGTAAAATGGGAAGACAATAGAACCTAAATCAGAGGAGTGCTAGGATTTCTGTTAGATACCAGGTCAAACATTTGGCACAATGGAGGCACTCAGTAGGTGCTTAATAAATGTTCGCTATTGTAATAATAACCACATACCACCTGTATCTTCCTCTGCACCCACAGCCTGGGAAATAGTAGGTGTTCAGTAAATACCGAGATAAACTGAACTGGGAAATAGAGCATATGGGGGACTGGAGAGCAAAGAGACCCCGGGACCCAAGGTGTTCAGCTGGACCTCGAAGGAAGAGCAGGACAGAAGCTGCACCCCAAGAAGAGTGTTCCAAGTTGGGGGATAGAGTGAGCAAAGGTGGAGAGGAGGAGCTGGAACAGTCTGTGTGTGACGGGGATGGGCGGACACAGGGAACCACAGAGAGGCTCAGCGGCGGCCAGGCTGTATTTCCAGCCCAGCCAGACACTGCACATTCCACACACAGACGCAGACCTGCTGTCGACGCGGCAGAGCGGAGCTGTCCCGGCCACCCTGCTGACGGGGACCAAGCCCCAAGACCCGTGCTCCCCACACGCTGCACAGCCGCGTTACCGACCAGCATGCCAGAAACACAGGTTCCAGGCCACCCAGGCCCGGTGACAGCAGGGTCTCAGAGGATGCTGCAGCAAGGAAGGATCTGGAACCCCGCCCCAGACCCTCAGGAGCCTCGCCAAGCTGGGAGCCCATACTGTCTCGTGGGACACAAGCTCTTGGTTAGTCGTGTGTTCAAATCCCAGCCCCAAGGCCACAGACACTCAACCTACTGGAGCCTCAGTTTCCCCATCTGTAGAAGGGGAACAGCAAGCCCGTGGAGCTGTCATGAGACAGTCACTCTCTCAGCAAATCCTCACCGAGCACAACTGTGCACCAGATGCCATTCTAGGGGCTGGGGGTGGAACAGTGACCAAAACAGACAAACCCCTGCCCCGTGAGCCGCCGGCCAGCTGGGGGGACCATGGGAGCGTAACAAGTGTAGGCTCCAGAGCCAGAGGCCCGGTCTCTAGCTGGCTCCTCCAGTGACCAGCTGTGTGACTTTGGGTAGGTTACTGAACCTCTCTGTGCCTCAGTTTTCTCATCTATGAAATGGGGACCAGAGAAAGGGTTGCTGTGGGAGTTACATGAGTTAATAAATGTAAAGGGTTTCAAGCAGTGCCCAGCAAAGAGAATGTGCGATATATACGTCAGAGCTGAATAAGATAATAAAAAACACTCACATATCACATAGTGCCTAGTGCCAAGGAAAACAATAAAGGAGGAATACTGCACTTAAATAGGATGGACAGAGAAGGCTCCTCAACCAGGTGATGTTGAAGTAAAGGTACTGGGCACAGAGCCTGGTACCCCGTTAGTGCTGTGGCTGGTAGTCACATCTTATACGTCAAGTGACACTTTCCAGAGCCCGAGAGGGGGCTGTGCGTCCTCCTCCCTCACCCTCCCCAAGACCACATCACCCACCTCTTGGAACAGGCCCTACACAGAGTTGCCATCTCCTGGCCGGCAGAGGGGCAGGGCTGCAGCGTCCAGAGAGGTGGGTTTCGGGTTTCCTGGGACAGGCTAGGGTCCCGGCAGGAGGGCGGGCGCGCAGCTGTGAGTTGGGGCTGCAGGAGCCGCGCTCACCGGCCAGCTCCCAGCGGTCCGCAGTCCTCGGCAGGTGCGTGCGCTCCGCGGGCCCCCCTTCCTCCTCGTGGAGACCGCCTCGCCCTCGCTCCTGCGGCTGTGCCTGGAAGCACCGGCTCCCGGGAGCTCTGAGCCCAGTGCTCTCGCCAGAGCCTCCACGGGGCAGGCGTGGGGCCACCCCGGGGCCGGCCCAGCCGGGGCAGGCGATGCTGGCGCAGCCTCTGGATGGTGAAATCGGGCTGCGTGTCTGGCCCGGGCGTCACAACCCGGGCTTCAGGGAGCGACCTCCGGGGCGGGTATTTTCGCCAGCGCTGGGAGGACTCGGTAAACGTTCAACAGCTCCCGGCTCGCCAGACGAGCGTCCAGACGGGCACGCGAAGCCCTGGTCCCGCCCTCACGTGAGGCCACCGGGGCTGTCCCTGCCTGGCGTCTTGGGAAACACTTAGTCTCCAGTGGGGACTGGAGGCGGGCGTGGGGCGACTATGGGGCCGCCTGGCCGCGCTTCAGGCAAGGACTCGATGCGACAGCGGTGTGAGCTAGCCTGGTCTCCCACGTCCGGTGGCCCCAGGTGGGCGGGGACGATGACAGACACGCGGGGCCCTGGAAAGGTTCGCGCCCGGCTCCGCGTGCTGAGCGTGCGCTAGCGCATTTCTCCCCACGCACGGCTCTGGGGTCTGGCCCTTTCTACAGTCAGGGAAACTGAGGTTCGGTGACGGCCTCTGGGCCCGGAGTCTGTGCCCCTCACTGCCCCACACGCACGGCGCAGTGCGACCGCCTCCGCTGTGCGCTCCTTCTCCGGCCTCCTCTCCTTGAAAACCAAGGGCTGCTCCTCAATCTTCACGGCCGCACGGCCCAGCCGTCCCGACGGAGGCATCCCCAGGGTGGTGAGGACATTGCGGTGGCCCTGGCTCGGGAGGGTACCTGCCTGACAGCCTGGGCGAGGGGATACCTGGCTGAGGAGTGGCAGAGAGGGGTTCAGAGCGGCTGTGCCTGTCCTCAGGGCAGAATGGGACAGTGTCAGGGCCTGGCCCTCCTCTTCGTCCCCCTCACCTTAGTATATGGGGCCTTATGTTATAAAATATTCTTATATGTTCATTATACATGGCCTTATTATAGCAATCATTTGCACCTTAGTGTAAAATTTCCCCACCAGATTACTTCACCAAGTGAATGCTTAGATTATGAAATTAAAAGCCCTGTCCAGAGTCACAGGGGTTTCAGGTGTCAGGGCAGGGGCGGGGACTGGGGACAAAGGGGGTGTCAACCCGCCAAGTGGAGCCCTGCTCTCCCGCTCTCCCGTCTAAGGTGATTTTGCCTGACCGCCCCAGCCGCGGAGTGCCTGGCAGCGTGCCTGTGTTTCAGCCTGGTCAGATTACCTGGGAAAGAAGGCCAGAAGGTGAGGCCTGAAACCCAGCCCGGGCCATCCAGCCCCAGGGCCAAGGGTCCAGACCCCTGGGAGTTGGACAGAGACGGGAAGTTACAAACAGATGTGCTCTTCCCTATCGTCGTGGGCAGCTCTGTTCTCGCCCCCAGACAAGGGGGCTGCAGAGGCCGAGGCCAGATGGCGGCCATTCGGGGACCTCAGGACCCCCTCCAGAATTCCCCGAGGGGGACCCCCAGGAGGAAGAGCCCCCAGGATGTTTCCAGCCATCAAGGCCAACTTTCTCGGACTTGGATGGACCTCGCGGGACCTGACTCAGCCTTGCTGATGACCGACGGGCCCTAGTGTTGTGGGGTCGGATCCCCTCTGTTCTCTCTCCGCCCAGAGAGCTGACCCCAGGAATCCAGGACGGGGCCCACCGAGGGGCACTCTCGGGCAGAGCTCCCGACGGGGCCTGAGGGGACATTTCCCATGGATGCGGGAGGTCCAGAGGCCCCCAGAGGCCTGGCAGGAGGAGAGCTGCTAGAGAATTCATAAGGCCCAGTGCAGAAGAAAACACATGACCCTTTGTGCAAAACTTGTTCTGAATTTCTAGATGGCGACAGCAGATCGTTAAATCTACGCGCAGGGCCCCATGTGAGTGCGGTCTGTGGACCCCTCCGCTGCTGCTGGACCACGGGGACAAAGTCCCCACAGCACCTCTGTGTGATCAGAGAGAGGTCCCCCTGGGTGGAGCAGCTCCACGCCGGGGCGCGCAGCTCGGGAGGGTCACAGGGGCTGGATGCCCCCCGTGGCCAGGCCACCTGCACGACTGTCCTCAGCAGCCCTGATTACAGACCCCGTGGAAGCCCAACCAGAGGCAGCTCTGAAACAGCATCACTCGCTGGCCAGTATAGCCGCTCTCAGCAGCATTTATGGAGCACCTACTGTGTGCCTTCCTCGAAGTGGCATCACGCTTTCTCCTCTGGGAGCCTCGGAGTCAGGGGCTCTGGCTGCTCACTCCCTCTGGGGCTTTGGCCAAATTCCTTCCCATCTGGGGTTCAGCTTCCTCTGCTTCGGCCCTTCGGCGGCTCCCCTCACACTGCGAACGTCTTCACTGTGGCCCACAAGGCCCTGCAGGGCCCTCCCCCTCTCTCATCGCTGTCCACCAGCCAGCCACACGCCTGCTTTCTGTCTGTCAAAGCTCATTCCCGCCTCAGGACCTTTGCACTCGCTGTCCCCTCCACCTGGAAGGCTTCCCCAGCCCCACACCCTGTCTGCACAGGATCGGCTCCTTCTCTTCTCTCTGGCCTTCGCTTAAACACTCCCCTGCCTCACTGAGGGCCTCCTCCGAGACCCCTGCTGCCCTCCCACGTGCCCTGTTTTAATGCCTTCACAGCACTTGTCACCAGTTGAACTCGTCTCAATTATCGTCGGCTAATTGTTTGCTGCCCTGACAGGAGGGCGGGGCCTGGGTCTGTCCCTGGAGCCCGGCACGGGGCCGGCTGGAGTAGGTGCTCTGTAAGTCTTTGTGGAATGAATGAGGGATTCCTCAGGGCGCTTCCCTCTGGGACACTCAAGGATTTCAACCCCGAGATGCCACTCCTCCTGGGCATACCTGGGAGCTGACGGCCAGGAGACAAGGTGAGAGCTGGAGGGCCTGACCGCAGGGCCAGCACGACTGGGGGGGCGGCTACTGTGCAGCTTTGAACCCTAGGAAAGGGCTACAGGAGGGACCTGGCCTGGTCTGGGGCTCGGTGGTCCTCCCCAGGACGTGGCGCTGAAGCCAAGGCCGGAGAAGACGGAGCGGGAGCTGGCCAGGTGAAGGGCAGTGGGCGGAGAGTTCCAGGAGGAGGCCACAGCCTGTGCAAAGGCCCGGAGCGGGGAGGTCACTGTGGCTAAAGCACAGGGTTAAAAATGAGGCCTGTGGGGCCGGATCACAGGGGCCGCGAGGCCACTTGAGGGACTGGATTGTGTCCTGCGTGGGCTGGGAATCTGGGAATGTAGTGCAGGGCTTCAGGGAGGCGATGCCATGATGGGATTTGGTTGTTGACTGGCTCACTGACCAAACAGGTCCTGCGCCCTGCTCTGCCTGGGGGCCGTGCATGTCCACTACATCTGCTGACACAGGCGGATGTTTGGGCCCCTCAGGATGCCCGGGGACCCCCTCCCCAGGCCTGACAGCCAGCAGGCGGCTCCCCAAGGGCTTGCACAGTGCCCGACGTGAAGCCCTGGAGCCAGGGGGCCAGGCAGGCCTGGGCTGACCGGGCTGTGGCCCCAGGAGCAGAAACGCGCCCTCCTCCCAGGGACCCTGCAGCTGGAGGGGACACCCCGCGGAGAGGCCGTGGATTCAGGTCACAGGCTCCGCCCTGACCCCAGGCCCATCTCTGCAGAGGCTGTACCTTCTCCTTTGAAAACTTTCCACAGGGACCTGCCGTGTGCCAGCGTGTGCCAACCACTTGTCATTTGTCACCTCATTATACCCTCATGACAACCCCTCAAGGGAGGGACATTCGTGATCTCTGTTTCACATATGAGGAAACCAAGACTCAGAGAGGCGAAGTCACTTGCCCCAGGTCACAGAGCTGGGACAGGTGGCCCCATTTCCCATTCTATCAAACAGGAAGAACATTCTCTCCTAAGCCCGCCCCTAGGAGACGAAGTTCCAACTCTGACCAGTGTCGCTGTGTGACATTGGGTGAGCGGCTCCCCCTCTCTGAGCCTCAGTTTTCTGGTCTGCCAAGTGAGTCTGATAAGCTCAGACAGGTGGACTTCAGGGAACAACCGCCAGGAGCATGTGAGGTGACACCTATTCAGGCCTCAAGGAAATTACAGGTTTCTCCAACACCGAGTCTCTCTCTCTCTCTCACACACACACACACACACACACACACACACACACACACACAAACTGCCTTGGGCTGCAGGCCTGGCAGGAGAGGGAGCCTCAGGGTCACTGGCATGGGAGGAGGATGTCCCTGCCGTCCCCGCCCGGCCCTCGGACGAGCCGGCATCCGCGACTGGGCAGAACTTACGCGATCCTCCGGCTCTGCGCGCTGCTGAAGCCCGCGAAGGAGGCACTCCGGCCCACGACCCCCACGGCCCCCGCGTCCCCGGGGGACAGGAACCGCACCCTCACCGACATGGCCGTCACCTGCGGGAGAGGACAGGAGAGTCACCTCCACCGTCACCTGGTGTGTGCCCTCCACCGTGGCTCCCAAGGTCCTCACGACAGCCCCAGAGAGGGGGTGGCCAGCACTGTCCTGGGTCAGAAGAGGACACTGAGGCTCGGGGGGGTGAGGGAACCTGCCCAGGGCCAGTGCAGGAGCGAGATTCGAACCCAGGTCTCTGCACTCTGCACGCGGGCCCTTAATGCCTGAGCGATGCTGAGTCCTCGTGCAGCAGGAAACAGCTCCTCCTGAACCCGGCTCTTCTCACCTCCCTCGGCTGCTCCTCTCTGCCAATAACCCGCACCCCCGGAACAACCTCACTGAGCACCTACTGTGTGCCAGACGCGCACTAAGCAAGACGGGCAGAGTCCCTGCCCTCCAGGGCTCCCGGTCCAGCAGGGAGGCTGACGAGCCACCAGACAGTCACAGTAGGGAGCCTACAGTGAAGTGATGGGGGGCCTGGGGGCACCTGACCCAGCCATGGAGGAGGCCACTGAGAGCTGAGAAGGAAAGGCTGAGGAGGGGAGAAGGGAAGGGGAGGGGACGGAAGGGAAGGGTAGAGGCAGAAGGAACAGCATGGGCAAAGGCCTGGAGGTGCAGAGGACGTGGTGTAATCCAGAAACAGAAAGAAGTTCAGGGCCGGCCCCGTGGCTTGGCGGTTAAGTGCGCGCACTGTGCTGCCGGCGGCCCGGGTTCGGATCCCGGGTGCGCACTGACGCACCGCTCCTCTGGCCATGCTGGGGCCGCGTCCCACATACGGCAACTGGAAGGATGTGCAGCTATGACAGACAACTATCTGCTGGGGCTTTGGGGGAAAAAAAAAAAAAAAAAAAAAATTTTAAAAAAAAAAAAAAAAAGAAGTTCAGGGTGTGGCTTCGGGTGAGGTTGGAGAGGTCAACACAGCACAGATCACGGGGGACCTTGGTGGCCCCAGGGAGGAGTTGGGCCTTGCAAGTGGGCAAGGGTAACTGGGAGCCATGGGAGGGTTTTGAGCAGGGAGTCACAAAGCCCAATTCACATGAGGCCAGGCTGCTGACAACAAAGGCTTCCGGAAGCCCCCCACCCATTGCCCCGTCTCTGACCCAGGCTACAAGGAGACCAGCCTGGATCCCTGGCTGTCTTTTGTTTTTTCCAAACCATCTCTAGATTGGAAAAACGCCACCACGTCCCTTGGGAATATCGCCCAGTGTCTTCCAGCACAGACAATCGGAAAGTTCTCCTCCATATCTACCCTAAATCTCTGCTGCTACAGTTTCATACCCTGCTCCTCAGCCAGGGTGGCGTCCGTCCAAGGATTCCAGGGGCCACACTGCCCAGGCCAGCCCTGTAAAGAAGCCCCATTCCGCCAGCTCCCTCGCCTTCCCACTGGGTGAGGCCCCTGCCTTCCAGCACCCCCTCACCCAGCAGCCGAGTCCAGCCCCCACGCCTTTGCTCACATGGGGGCCTCTGCCTGGGGCAACATTCTCTTTCAGGCTGCGTCTGTCCAGCGTCCAGTCCTGCATTTGGTCTGCAGTCAGCCCCCATCATAGGCTCCAGAGCCCTCGCTCTGACCCCCCGGCAGATCTGTGCAGCCCCCCATGGCCTTATCCTCCTCCTGCATGTCCATAGCCCGCAGCCCCCCGAAACAAAAAAGCCAGACCTGGGCTCCAATCCCGGCTGTAGCTCTGCCTCTCACTGGCTCGGGGCCTCAGTGATCATGTCTGTAGAATGGAAATTCAGAAAAGGACCACGGAGACGATGTGCTGAGAGCACACGGTGCCAAAGAGATGCTCAGAGAGAGCCGGTCGTCTCTGTGCAACTGGCCGACGAAGACCCTGGCCCTGGAGGGAGCTGCTGAGCAGATGAGTGACTTCCAGCCCCGATGACAATGACGGGGATGCTGGCAAGTGCTGGCTGAGCACCCACTGTGTGGCTGCCCAGGGCAGGGACTGTCACCCGCTATAAATCCATGAACAACAGCACTGCGCGCAGATGGGGAAGTCAAGGTAATCTGGCAGTGGAGGCCTCATCTGTTGAGTGCTCGTTACTAAGCCAGCCTGGCGTAAACACTGAATGTAAACGACCTTATTAAATCCACACAGCCCTCAGCGGCGTAGGAGCTACTGCTAACCTAACTCGACAGATGAGGAAACCGAGGCTCAGAGAGGTCACACGACCCACCCAAGGAGCCCAGCGGGGAGGTGGCAGAGCCGGGTTTAGAACCCGAGTGTGACTGATGCCCAGGCCAGCGCTTCTCACCGAGCAGCGTCTGGGGCCCTGCACCTAGGGGTCTGCCCCACAGGGGGGTCCCCACAGCGGCCGCCTGTGCGGGGCTCCTGCCAGATTGCACCTGCTCATGGGGGTCGATTGTTCAAGTTTCAGGAATTTCGGTAGCTTGAAATCACCACGGTAGGAATATTTACCGAGTGGAAATCCACAAGTGCTACGAATGAGGGCTTTTCTTTCTGCTGGTTGTTAAACACAGACCAGACCCCACTGCCCCCACTTCAGCACCTGCTCTGGGTGGCACTGGGAGCCTTCTCAGACTCCCGACAGCCCTCCCTCCATGCCACCCCCAGCCCCCACCTTCTGGGCCATTCCTCTGCCTCCTCCAGGTCTCTCCACTTCAGGTAAGAGATGGGCAACTGCTCAAGTTCCTCCCCACGCAGTTTGCTGCAACACACCACCTCCTTCCCGCTCAGGGTCCGGGGAGGAGGCCCGAGGACGGGAACTGAGGTTCCGTGCAGACCATGCCACATGCCAGCCCCCGACCGCGGGTTCATGACGCACGACCGCCCTCTGAGGTTTGGCGACCCCACTCTTCATAGGAGGAAAGAGCTCCAAGGCTGAAGAGGCTGGCTCAGGGGCCCACATTCTTCAAAGTGAGGTCTGGCTGCCACATGGGGATGGGCCTCCTGGCTCACCCCTCCTCCTCTTCCAGCCCAGATGTCACCTCCCCCAGGAAGCCATCCTGGACCTCCCCCCAGCCCTGGGCTGCCTCCAGTCACAGTGGACTGTGAGTGGTGACTTGTCGGCCCCCCCACTAGACAGAGAGCTCCCTGCAGGCAGGCCCTGGTGCTTGGAGGATTCGCGGCATGTCTCTATGGGGCCTGAGAACAACGACAGCGTCCCCCATTTCCCCAGGCTGGGCCGCCTGAGGCGCAGGCAGTGGAGGAATAAGGATAAGAATAGAATTTCTACTACGTGCCAGACTCCAACACAGGGGCTGGCAACCGTTTTCTGTAAAGAGCCAGAGAGTCAACTTCTTGGCTTTGTGGGCCCTGTAGTCTTCATCACAACGGCTCCACCGTTCAGAGCCAAAGCAGCCAGACGATATGTAAGTGAACGAGCCCGGCTCTGTTCCCATAAAACGTCATTTACAAAAGCAGCACCCATGGATGGATGACCCTTGGGCAGCCAGCACAGCCTCTGACCCCTGCGTAGCCAGCACAACCTCTGATCCCGGGGTAGCCAGCCCTCTGCCTGCTACCTGCTCTAAGGGCTTAAAATCTCATTTAATTCTCCCAACACTATATGAGGCAAGCACTATTATTATCCCCATTTTACAGATAAAGAAACCAAGGCTCAGAGAGGAGAGGAAATGACTCAGCCAAGGTCACGCAGGTAGAAAATGCCAGAGCTGGGATTTGAACCCAGGCAGATGGACACTTCATGCTGGGCTGCCCTTGCTTCCCCAGGGGTTGTGCTGAGGACATGCACCCCATCCCCCAACTCCCATGAGCCAGACTCCGGGCTGAGGGGGAGGGAAGGAGGCCCTCGAATGGAAGCAGGTTCGAGAAGGGAATCTGCCGAGCTAGAACCGTGGCCCTGGGCAATGGCCGAGAAAAATCCAGCCCTGGCCCCTGTAGGCTTCAGGGTGCAGGAGCCCAGGTCCCTGTGGGTCCTTTGGACCGGCACCAGCTCCCAGACAGCTCGGCTGCTGGGCGAGTCCAGGCTGAGACCCCTGGACCCTCAGGAGCCTTCGGTGGACAGCTCCCGACAAGCCCTAATGACTGTCACCTTGACCGAGAGCGGTAATTCCTGATGTTTAATCATTGACACAGTGGGGGCACTGACCACTCAGAACAGAGGCCGGGCACCTGGGAGACCCCCCTCCCTCCCACCTCTCCTGCGGGGCTGCCGTGAGCCCTTTAGCTGCTGGATCGTGGGCAGGCCTGGGAGGTCCCTGGGTAGGGACACTCAGGCAGCTCGGGGCAGCAGGCTGCAGGGCGTGAGAGCTGGCCAGAGACCTCGCTGGGCCCCCGGGCAGAGGAGAGAGGCACAGAAGCCATGCAGGTCCCAAACCTTCGGTGGCAGACAGGATGGCCTCTTCCCCGAGTGTCCCTCGCCGCCTCTCGCTGGCCTGGCACCCCGGGCAGCACTCGCTCAGACCGATGCCACCTGGACCCAGCCGGTGAGCGCAGGAGGGCAGGCCAGCTGCTCCCCGACACTGGGGACGTCCCGGGCCTCCCCCTCAAGGGGCAGCTGCAGGAGCCGGAGCGTCTCCGCGGCGTCCGTCCTGCTCACCGCGGCCACAGCCACCCGCCCGCCCGCCGGCCAGAGGGAACCTGCAATTTCACCTCATTTGGAGGTGAGGCTTCTAAATTTAACGGCGTGGGCTCCCAGGGCTGGGCGGCTTTTATGCCTGAGTCCCTCCCTTAAGGCTGTTTTATATCCGCCCAAATGCCAGCCAGGCCTTAGTTTGCTTACAGGAGTTTCCAAAATAGCCCCTTTGGGTTAGCATGGAAGGAAACGGCAAAATAGCCCAGGATGCCGAATGCGAGTTTATACAGAGGAGGGATGGGCGGCCCGCGGAGCTGCTCTGGGAACCAGACTGTCTGCCCCGGACGAGCCCAACTCCCTCATCTTACGGCCGGCCAGACCCAGCCCAGAGTGGACACGTGACGTGCCCGGATCACCCAGAGGTGAAGGAAGAGCCGAGGCTCTCCTCCCCGCCAGGACCCCAGGACGCAGTCCCCTGCCCTCAGCCGGAGCCCACCG